TTACAAATAATTTGAATAATGTTGAATCAAAGGAGCAGACTGCTGCCACGGAGTCATACGAGCATCTTATTAACACTCCCATGCATTAAAACTCTTAGAGTGCACTGGAAGTTCACTTTCAGTTTTTCTCTCTTATAGTTTATAGTTATTGTCAACCAAGGACACAGCAGCCGCTGGTGAAATTCAGGGAGTGTGTGTGTGTGTGTGTGTGTGTCTGACAAAGAGAGCGCGAGAAAACGACGGCGGGAGGCGGAGGGGAAGAAACTGAGAAACAACGGTCCGATTCTTATTTTATGTCTCACCCCTCCTCTCGCTCTGTCAAGGCCGCTCTTTTCTTCCTCCTACTTGTTGGGCCGGGAAGAGGTCAGAGCAAGTGAGAGAGCAACACACACACACACACGCACACACACACACGCCGCAACCGTTACAAATCTTCTCCGCCGTATCGAGGAAAACACACTGATAAGCGTGTCTCCACTCCCCATCCGACAGATCCATCTCCGAAAACATCTGAAACGCTTGGTAGGAAGATGTGGAAATATATCTCGGTGTTGGTGGCAGATTGATGGTTCGATTCCCTCCCACCGCATGAGTCAGGCCACAGTGGATCCGGGGGAAAAGGGTCGAGTTGGTTTCGCCGGGCACGCCGATGTTAAGGGATGATAATTAACAGGGTTCAGTTGACATGAGTTGTGTAAGAGTGTGTGCGTGTATTTGTGAGTGCCTCTGTGTGTGTGTGTGTGTGTTTGTGCATGTTGGGAGTGCTGCACCTGCACCTAATGATGTGAAATCTGACAAAGTCATCTGCTGCAGGCCTCCACGCTCCACACACTCCCCTCAGATCAAACTTGCACCTGTTGACCCGTACACACACACACACACACACACGTACACACACACACACACACACACACACGTACACACCTTTTACAGATGCTATTTTTTAGGGGGACATTCCAGCACTCTGGGCTAAGTGCCTCCTTAACCTATTCTCAAGAAATGAACTCCCTGGATTGCATTTTTCATGGACCAACACCAACTCATAACACACTCAATCCGTCAAGTCTGTTTTATGTGGAGATACAAGGTGACGGATGTTAAAAAGAAGGTAACCTCAGCTTTATCTTAAAACCAAATGGCCTAATATCTGTCATGTACAGTTTTTATCTGGCTGAAAAGGTGCCTGGGGAACCGATTTTTAAGGAGGGAAGGTTGAAAACGTGTAACCTATGAAGCGTGAAGTGATTCCGTGAACTTGTGCACTTTGTTTTGCTGAACTGGAAATGAGAGGTAGTGCAACCAACATGATTGAAGATAACAAAGTACAGTAATATTATTCCCTTGGGACATATTTGAGGCAAAGTTACTGCTACTTTAAGAAGAAGAATAGTTGTTGGGAAACTAACAAAGCAGCTGATTAACTGAACTATCTGGTATCTGCTGTGGGTGAGATACAGTTTTTATGGAAGATGCTAATAATAGAAAGATGTGAATTCATGTGCACACAAGCAGTTTGTATGCATGTAGATGTGCGTATAGTTCCCTTTAGATGTGCTCTAGATGTATACCTTCTGTCAGTGTGAGGGTTTTGGTGGAGAGTCATGCAATGCAAAATCCCCAAACCTGAAAATTTGAGGGGAAATCGCTGAATCAAATTTCATTTTTATTTGACCCCTACATTCGTTTGTAGCTCAAAAGATATCTTTCTCAGCTAAACGACTTAAACTCTGCCCCAAATCACAAGAAGCGTGTGTGTGCGATTCCACGGAGGTGACGTACGTCCTCACCTCTGTGTGTGCCGGCGGTGGACGTGCGGGGCCACCGGGTCGCGGTGGGCCGGGTCCGTGGTTCCCACAGCCTGCGCGGAGGCAGCCTCTGCCGCGCTATCAGCCTTCGTCTCCGGCCCCCCACCCCCCACCCCAACCCTTCCCAGCGGGCCCCCTGACGTCAGCCTGATAACGGGGCCCGCTGCAAGCGGCCGGAGGGGGTGTGCGGGGAGGTCGGGGGGGTGGAGATGGAGGGATGAGGTGGAAGGAGAGCGGCCTACGGGGAGGGAGGGAGGGAGGGAGGGACTGAATGGGGGGTTACACTAACAGAGCCAGCGGTGGATAAGACCCTCAGACAGATAAGACAGAGCAGAGAGTGTGGAGCCTCCTTTGTTTTCCACTGCTCCTCCTGTCTGGTGGCTTCTCCCTTCTCCTCCGCTCTCGACGCTTCTCTCAATTTGTTAAAGCTCTTTTGCTCCTCCTGCACCGGCCCTCCTCTCCTCGCCCCAAGCTGGGCTGCTCCTTCCGTTATCGGGCCTGTGCGCTACGACCGTCCCTGGACGGAGGGGACCTTTTCTCCTCTCGCTTCCTCGTTGCGTTTTTGTTTTTCCCTCCTGGTGTTTTTTTAGAGCGGCGGGGGGGGGGGGGGGGGGGGGGGGGGGGGCCTATGACTGACAGCAAGACACGTTTTTTTTTTCTTCTCCTAAATCCTCCATCCTTCTCACACTCTGCATCCGCACACAGTCTCGTTCACCCTCTCTGCATGAACTCTGCGTGAACCCTAAAGACACCAGAGCCCATTGTTTTGATGATGTCACCTCACCTTTACCTAACCTGCATCTTACCCCTAACTTGCCCCTCCACGTTCAAACAAAAAGCTTTCTCTCTGCAACTAAGCCCTGTATATCAGCATATTAAACAGTCATTGCATGTGTGTGTGTGTGTGTGTGTGTGTGTGTGTGTGTTCCCTATTTGCTCTTCAGGCCTCTGCTACCCTGCGGACTTTGGCCACTGCTTATCACAGGGAGAGGTCCTGGGATCCCTGATTCCTCACTGCTAAAAATACACAAACACACACACACGCACACAAACATGCACACACACCCTGGGTACCATGAGCCAGCCGGCTTTCAGGCCAATTTGGTCAGTGGAGCATTTTTGAAGATGGGGGGCCATCCGTGCAAAGCTTAAACTCCCTTCAAATATTCTCAGTTTTAAAGGTGGCATTTTACACCCAGGAGTGGAATTCCAAACATTGTCATCCGAGCATCCGAGGAATATCCAAACGGTCCTTGACCGGGGCGAGCGCGTCGCATTCACAAACAGCAAACTCCATCACAACCGGATCGGGGGCCTGATGAATGAAACGTTATCGTCGGTAATTGTCGAGTGTTGCGCGACGTGTTTGCGCTCCTCTTCAAACGGTGTGAAGCGAGACTCCAATTCAACACTTGAGCTCGTCACATATGAGAACCTGCAAGGGACGAGTTAATTATTTATCCACCAAAAAAAAAAAAGAACCACACTGCTGGTTAATGGTGTGTGTGCGTGTGTGTGTGTGTGTGTTGCTGAGCAGACTTGTGTCTCCTGAGGGAATCCCTTTCCTTGTCCATATTCAAACACACTTAATCCACAAGCACAACATACGGAGATACCTTGGAATAACACGCAGATCTACACGCTTACTTTCACACACAGAAAGAGGCGTGCAGCAAAATATTGTCACTATTTGGAAAAAAATACATCCGGAATGCAGGATAAGATACATAGTTCACCTGATAAAAAAAGTTTTATTTAACCAAATTACTTTTCAACGCTCAAAAAATTGCACTTTCACTTTGATAAGACGGAATTGGAAAGGTTGCCTCTGTGAGATGTACAGTATAACACATAAACTGAAACTGAGAGATTTGATGTCCTTGCGGGGCAGAAAAACAAATAATACCGTAAATACAAAACGAACAGCAAATAATAAAGCTAATGATAGAAAAGAAGCCTGACCAGGGACGGTTCCATTTGTAACTGCTGACGGGCCAATTATATCTTAATAAAAATAAAAAATTAATACAATGTTGTACTAATGCAAACTTTTGTAAAATGTACCATTTTAAACTTTTGCTCAATAAAGTCATTTAGAAAAGCCGGTTGGGATTTATAAAAAAAAAACCTTGAGTCTCTTATTGATTAGCACTGTTTCACCATTACCAACATCACATGAGCGGATCCATGTAGATCAATCTGATCACATGTGACATGGTGACGTCAGCAGGAACAGATGCAGTCAACAAACACCTTCTGCTTACTCTGCAAAACAGCGTGCACGTTAAAAGAAAAAAACCAAAGTACGTGAGTGTGTGTGTATTCTACTTCCTGGTTTTTCCCGGTTTTGAGGTCTTCTTCCTGGAGCCGGGAGCCTGCAAGTCTCCGTGAGTGTGTTTGAGTGTGCGTTTTATGTGTGTGTGTCCGAAGCAGGCACCAGGAAAGACGTCCCCGTCTCGGCTGGGGCAGAGATTCGATCATTCGGGGTCGGTGACTTACTTTGGCCCTTTCGGCCCTTCTTCCTTGCACACGCACACACGCACACACACACACACACACACACACGCACGCACGCACGCACGCACGCACGCACGCACGCACACACACACACACACACACACACACACACACACACACACACTCAATTCAGTGCTGTCGGCCAAATACTAGCATCTCTATCTAGTCCCTCACCAACACCTCTTCAGTCATGCACACTGAAAACACACGGTTGCACATAATAGTGGCTATAAACACACACACACACACACACACACACACACACACACACACACAGAGTTGTCATGGGCTCTGGCCTCCGTCACTGTCAGTGATACAGCCTGGCATGTGCAAACACACAAATGAAAACACTCACTGTACAAAAAAAGGAAAAAGTGCCTGAACTGTGTGTGATTTTCTTTTGACGTTTTGTAAACTTCTCACTCTGCATTTGCTCTCGTTAGACTCAACTCTCGGGTTTAGTTCCACTAGAAGGGAAGCGACAGACTTCTCGCACAACATGTAAAACTGACTGAAGCTCTGCAGGAATACACTGCCTGGAACGGCACACTGAGACTGCTGCTTTACACCCTCTGCAGGGGCCCACGCCTCAATATTATTAGCCACCAATTGGTGGTTCTGTTATCAGCCAGCAGTTACACATTGATGACGGTTCCTCATTTCCATTGAGGCAACATTGCTCTATTTGCCTTGACGTCCAGAGAAAGAAGGGGCAGTGAATCAATACTGCTGGTTATAGGTTATTGTATACGGTTCATGTATAATATATGGAGTAACTGGTAAGTTTAGTTCTATTTTAAATACATAGTGCTTAATCAGTGGAATGTTTTAAAGGGCCTGCAGCAAAATCATATATATGATATATGATAATATATATATATATATATATATATATATATATATATATATATATATATATATATATATTATTGGTTTTGCTGCACCTGTTGGACTAGCATTATTTACATATGGTTGTTTTATCATTTTGAATGATACATTTGTGAGGGGAAATGTAATATAATGTAAAATTATCCTAAATAACGAGGGCGATGAATAGCGATTATTTCGTTATTTTTGTTGTAACTTGTTGTTTAGACACACTCACACACGCACACACGCACGCACACACTGCTGTAGAGTCACATAAGTCACTGAGCGGCTGTCTTGTGGGAAGTGGCTGCACAATGAAATGGCCTCGTGTGTTTACGTTCACTGGTGTTGATGACAGGTATAAATCTGTCCTCGAGAGGACAACAACCGCCGGAGACTTCCGATTCAAGACGCGTCAAGCATCCACCACGATTTTTCATTTTTGTCATGAAGTGAAAAAAGAAGGGGGGGGGGGGGGGGGCTTAATGTGGAAATGTCCGTTCGGCAAGTGAACTAGTAATGTGACGGCAATTTAAAACTAATCAAGTAAATATAAGTTCTCTCCAGCTCGTCCACAAAGGCTTAAGACATTTATCTAATATTATCAAATCGGATATTGGTCTGATGACACGAGCACATTTAATTGACGTGTCGTTGCACGTGTTGAAAATGTAACTATCTTGAACACTTACCAGAATAATCAAACTATATATATATATATATATATATATATATATATATATATATATATATATATATATATATATATATATATATATATATAGTTAATGGTGTGTGTGTGAGGCCGCAAAATGTATATGATTAACAATACGCATACGGTCATGATTTGACAATAATTTAATATAATCATGAAGAAATGGCTCCGCAGACACGCGAGAATACTGGTGCCAACCCCAAAGAAACAACTCGGGAAAAACTGATCAACCAATCACCAACGAGGATTAAAGACCATTGTGGGTAAATTGCAAATGTAGATTTAATTAATCCGACTAACTGGGCGACTTCATTTTGGATGAACGGGAACACGTTTGGACACATTTAATTTGCATTCATTCTTTGATTTGTATGCAAATAAAATGGAAACTGATTGTATCAGGTGTTCATGACATATTTATATTTATAAATGGACATATGGACATATTTAAATTTGTAAATGCACACATATATATATTCTGATCTTCCTGTAACAGGGAACAGTATAGGTTCTTATTTAAATGAGTTAAACTAATGAATGGAATAAAAGAACAAAAACCGTAAAAACGAAAAACAACCGTTTTTAACGAACCAAGAACTTTAGATAGAAGAAGATATACATTCAAATAATTCTGAGAGAGAGAGAGAGAGAGAGAGAGAGAGAGAGAGAGAGAGAGAGAGAGAGAGAGAGAGAGAGATGATGGATCTTGATCACTCCGCCTCCTCCCTCTCGGGTTCTACTCTCAGTTGATTGTTGATTTTCGGATTGTTGCGGTTGCTCCACCACTTGTTCTGCGCATCTGATTTTAATGGGTCACGCAGAGCCTCGCGGATTGTATTAAATCTCACGTTTTCGCCTCAAACCCCCGCAGCTGTCGTGCGCGTGACCGCATCCATACTATCAATATCCACACTATCGACACGGATGTCCAGCTTCAAGGAGAAGATATGTATCAGGGCATAATGACAACCAACCACGGACCCCACTCTTATGAGGCCGGATTTCTGCACAACACCTCGACGGGCACCCCGCCGGTTTATGTGCCCACCACCCGGGTCGTCACCCCCATGATGCCCGCGCTGCCTTACCTCCAGACGCCCGGCGCGTCGCAGCAAGGCAGCCCCGCGTCGAGCCACTCGGCTTGGGCGCAGCCGTGCGCCGACGCGGTGCCCTCGTACAACCACTCCCCGGTGTCTCCGCGCTTCGCCTTCTCCACCAGCCCGCCTCTGTCCTCCGGCGTGGCCACGGCTCGGGACACGGCGGCTCCTTACGGCAGCAGCAGCAGCAGCAGCAGCCCGTTGAACATCTCCGCCAACGGGAGGGAGCACTACGGCGGCCGGAGCCTCAGCGGGTCGTATCACAGCCACTACCCGGCCTACATGGGCCCGAACGTGGGTGGAGCGTGGTCGACGTCTCCGTTCGATAACCCGGTCCTCCACGGTCTGCAAACCGGTGCTCCTCATGGCACAACACGGCACCCAAACATAGGTAAGCAAAACGTTCCTATTTTATTTTGGGCAGGCCGTAGTGTCAGGCTGAACATTTTCTTCCCAATAATATGTTTTGTGACTTTTGTCTGTCTGACAGATAGATATGTTAAGAATTTCAAACTACCACGAGAAGAAACAAGAGCAAATCTGCTGAAATAAATAGAAAAAAGTATTTATTTTTTATTTATTTTGAATACGTCAGTGATAGGCCTGCAGTTTATTGCCATGACACAAAAAATGAGGTGAAAAGGAAGCAAGGCCTGAAAAGTATTTTGTCAATATTCTAATGAAAGGTTTTAAAAAAAAACTTTCAAAATGTGTCTAATCATTCAATCTATTCATTGAAAGTCATCAAGATTAAGACCGTATTTTATCAAACCTCACGCTATTGTAACGATACAATCCAAAACGATTATATTTCTCACAACCACATTAAATTAATTACTTACACGTCTTATTTTTAATTTCCTAAAACGAACATTCTTGTTCCTCAAACTTCTGCTGAACGAAAAACGTCCAGTTGAAAATAAAAACACGGCGTGTGTGTGTTGTGTTTCCCTTCAGCACGAACGAATAGAAAGTTACAGATGAGATGAATCATGAGGGCCCGCAGAACCATTTAAGAAAGGTGGTCAACTTGTTCATTTACACAGTTAATTCACCGGGGATTTTTTCGTTTTTTTATCGTTTGGAAATACAATTGTTATTGATTACTATGTTATGTTTGGCAAAATGTTTTCCTTAATGAGATGTTAGCTTATACTGAGAGGAATGTTTAATCATGAGGTTTTTGGAAGGTCTGGCAATTGCATTAGTTGTAATAATTACTCTGAGAAAGTCATTGAGTGAAATTGATTCATATTTTACTTTTATTCTGAATTTCTAGAAACATATTGAAGCACAAGATTTTACCATCATTTACTGTGAATAAAATAAACCAATAGGCCAGTCATGAGTATTAATCACAATTGATTACATTATGCTTAATTTAATGCTCCAGCATTATTTACCCACATATTATTTTTAAATACCATAATTAAACATGTTTGGCTTATCTTCAGTTATAGGGATCTCTTTTTATGGATTGTGTTTGACTCAGACCTTGTGTATCAGTTAAGAGTTGATTTGAAGTGTGTGAGTGTGTGTGTGTGTGTGTGTGTGTGTGTGTGTGTGTGTGTGTGTGTGTGTGTGAGAGAGAGAGAGAGAGAGAACAATGTGATCCTGATCAGCAGCAGACTCCTCACACCCTCATGAAGAGTCAAATATTTTTATTGAAATATTTAGCTTTTCAGCCTGTATGTGACTCTGACTCTGGCCTTCAGCTGGCTGCAATGGACTGGACCTTATTATTGATTTTGCTTATTTGTCCGTTTTTTCAAAGACTTGTCATTATTATCATTATTAGATCATGTAATATCATATTATTATGACTTATTATTATTAGTTTTATCTTATTAACAGTTGATTAACAGCAGATTACCTCCTCGTTTATGCATTGAACTTCAAGACAAACTGCTCATTATAATTGTTTGCGTGATACCATTTGCATGGCGTAGCGACGAGGTAATCTCTTTTATCAGATAACAGCATTGATCCACACTGACCTCATCGCGGGATGACAATGACCATCAAATCACAGCGTTTAGGCCGCTTACTCACTGAGACGTTTGTTTCAGGCTCATTGTTTTACACTCACATGAAATGAATCCCATCCCAGTGTTTGATGAAGCGGCGTTGAGCCGTGCAGTGAAAGTCTCCATTGTTGTGTTGGTGATTTGGAGGGAAGGGAAACTGGTGAATGAAGGAAGAAGTTCATCACAACAGGCGCATCCCAAACTTAAAACATCTGAGACAATAGTAATTCAATGCTTAGTTTAATTCACTCATCGAGTTTGCCTTTTCCAGAATTTACAGGACTACAAACACATTTGTTAAAACTGTGGTTGTATATTAGCGCTCCTCCTAATTTTAACGTGGATGAAGCTCATTTAAACAATAAAAAAAAAATCTACAGCAATGTTTCATTATATTCTACACACTCATCTTGTGTTTTTTTAATTACTATGTCCTTCAAATAGTTTTGGAGTAAAAATTGCATAAGATGGTAATAGTCAAGTTAAGTTAGACTGTCGTTGAGTGAATTTACTAAGTTACTGTATATTATTATTAAAAAAGACCCCAACCCAATATTATCAGATTTTATTGATCATAGATGTCAGATGTCATTAGAAGGGTCCAGTGATTTCTCCGAAAGGAAAATAAATATGTGTAAAGCTAATAAATAATCATTGTTCTTACATTTAAATCATCAAAAACACAATTAAAGCTACAGGACGGGCCTTATATCTCACAGCTCTTTTCACCTTTCCCCCCTTAAAGCCTCAGCACCCCTGACAAGTGCACACACTGACATTTACAAGGCAAAAACACATCAACCTCTGTTCAGACACACACACACACACTGCAGTGTTTCTTTTGTGCATCGTCTTGTGTTGCTGCGTTGTGTTGGCTGCGAACGGCTCAAGGTCGGTTTGCCCCGCTGCGTCTGCTTTGCTCCCAGCCTTGGACGAGGCCTGCAGCGAGGAAGGAGCACATGGAGGCCAGATTCATGCTTTGGATTATGAGGAACGTGCACAGTGCAGCGTACACTTAATGTTATTTTGCAATAAATAGTTGTTTCACACATTTCCTCAATTTATTCTCAGAAAAACTTCACGGTCGCAGATAAATATAGGAACCCTTGCTCTCACTAAGCCACTGTCTGAAGCCTCCTCCCCCTGAAAAGGTCGAGTGGTTCTCCACACTGAATATGCGCAACAATGCATGAGACGCCATGCTAACTGAGAGACAGGCAGAAAGAGATGCGATGGACACCAAGTCCCCGATGGCGCTCCATTCCGTCTATAGCTGCAGACGATTCTTAATCATTCTGAGGCGAGAGATGAGGAGGGATTCTAGCTGCTGTGTGGGTCTGTGCAGCGTGCACCTCCTGGTGGCGTGGAGACGCCCCTGCACCTGTTAACGCACGCAAAGTGTTTATCCTCGAGGGAACATGTGTTATGTGGCATGGAACCGCGCTGAAAGTTTGGTCTGTGAAGTGATACCAGAACTATGGGGAATACATGCAATTCTGTTGGGCAAACAATGTGTTCGCATTAAGTGCTTTTGCTATTAAGGAACCATGAAAGTTTGTGGTCAGATAGAAAACGTTTTTTTGGAAATTCTCGTCGTCCTCCTTCAGACCTTTTCGATGACTTCGCCGAGGGGCGAGAGTGTGTGAACTGCGGGGCGATGTCGACCCCCCTGTGGAGGCGAGATGGGACAGGCCACTACCTGTGCAACGCCTGCGGACTGTACCACAAGATGAACGGCATCAACAGACCTCTCATCAAACCTCAGCGGCGGCTGGTGGGTGACAGCGGTTGATGAATTCACCTGCGGCGTTCCCCCGGAACATATGGCCATTTTTAATTTTTCTCCTTTTTTTTAACGCGTGGCATTGTTTATTCGCCGCAGTCTGCCTCGAGGAGGGTCGGCCTGTCCTGCACCAACTGTCACACCACCACCACCACCCTTTGGCGACGGAACGCAGAGGGAGAGCCGGTGTGCAACGCCTGTGGCCTCTACATGAAACTACACGGGGTAGGTGCAGCAACAGGCCGTTCACAGACTGCACTTCTCCTCCCTCGGTTTCTGTATCTAACCGCCCGTGTGTCCTGACAGGTAGCACGACCCCTGGCCATGAAGAAAGAGGGGATCCAGACCCGCAAACGTAAACCCAAAAACCTCAACAAGTCCCAAACTGGTGCGTTTCAGAACCACAGACGCTTGGGTTTGTGTAGATATGGACGTTGGATTACGAGGGTCACACTGTAGCCAACGCCTACTAAAGAGGCCCTTTCCCCGTGTGCATGCTGTCTGAGAATGTGCAATGACTTCTGTTCTGGCGCTGCACAGGGACCCCGGGCAGTGACGGGACTCACGTCACGCCCAGCAGCACTCCCCGGGCCTCCGCCACCGCAGAGGAGCCTCGGCCGATAAAGACAGAGCCCGACACCCACAACTTGTACGCACACCACAGCGCGCACGCACAGGTCGGACGGCTTTACGGTCGAATCGTTGCTCTGCACATTAGAGTCTGTAATTGGGATCATGAAGACGACACAGGCCCTCATTGCTCATCACATGCAGAGAGAACCTAATAAGCCCAGTTAGCTGCAGCTTAAGGCCTAATGACAAGCTCCAAAAGGTCCTTTGAAACTAAATCACCGTATGAGGATTGGCTTGCATGAATTATATTAATATTTATCACATATGCCAAATGAAAAGACAGTAAAGGAAAAGGTCAAATGTCAATGTAGGAAGGAGCAGATAACGTAACAGATTCCCTTACTGGTCTTCTCACCGTTTTCTACTCCCTCCTTCTAGATTTCAGCCCTGCCGGCCTACATGGCAGCCCAAGGCGGGGCCATTCCTCTCAAGATGCCCCCCGGGGGCCACAGCGTGTCTTCTGGCTCCAAAGCCGAGCCGTGGAACAGCCTCATCCTGGCCTAGAGGACCCGCGACCCTGCACAATCAAACCCTACCGATTAAACTCTCCAGAGAGACGAGCGTCTCCAGGAAGCAGACTGACGCTCTGGATGCAGATGTTCCCGCAGCCTTCACACCGTTCGGTGCCTTCAGTGCTAAGCTTTGGGACAAAAGAAATGGAGATCTTTAACACAAGTGCACGGGTACCGTGCATTCGGCAGCAGCAACCGATGGACCGAGTTTGGTAAAGAGCACCACTGCGATTGGACAAAGTTTCAGTCGGTCGCCCCAACACGCCTGTGCAGGGGCGGGAGGCGGCGGATGCTGCAACATAAACCAGTAACAAATCACAGTAATGTCTATTTTATTTCAATATAATTGTTTTCTTTTTCATCTTGACAATTCTGCCAAAAAATTATGAACGTTCGAATCATGAAAAATAATCACAGGACACCTTCGTTTATAAGGTCGATGAGGAGATGCAAGTGTACTTAAAAACAAAAACAACAACTAGATTTTGTCTAGACCGTGTTGACAATAATCAAGTCTCTTTATCAATCAAACAATTTGTCGGTTACTTATTAATCCACAAACCTCACTGAGGTCTGTTTTCAGTGTTTTGTATGTTTCGTAGTTTTAAACTGTTGAAACATTCAATTATCCGGAATATTTGGTGAAGCACGTTGCTATTAAGTCTTTTAAAGGACACATTTAGCTCCACGTATAAAATTTTTAGCAGTCTCAGCAGCAATACGTATCTGCAAATACAAAAAAAACATGTATGTAATTTATGATCCGGGTTGAACTGAACCCTTACACACTTCCCAAATTAACACACCGATTGCAGTCACTTAAATGTGATACCAGCGATTGCAAAGAACACTTACAATTTCATCTAATTGTACAAAGAACAGCTAATCAGATGCATTTCTCCAAATCTTACTGCAATTCAGAAAGAATTGCTCAAAAGCATCACTCCTCTGCACCAGAGACCGTCGGTAAACGTGATTTCCAACGCGTTAGAAAGAGTTCCCTTGTGACCTTCTGTTCCTCAATCAGCCTTTTTTGATCTAAAATGTAAAAAACACCACGTCAGTATTGACACCTCTATGGAAAAAATACATGAAAAACTACCTATACAGCGAGCATGATGAATGTGGGTGGAGTTATTGTACATAGCGCCCTCTGCTGACACAAGAGCAGATGTGCATCCATAACAAAAGCTTATACATCTTCAATCCCCCCCAGTATTTATTATTATTAAATGACCCCCCCAGTCATCTAACTGTCATCTACTAGCTGAGGGTGGTGGGACTTGTTGATGTGTTGTATCCGACTGTACAGATTGTTATTAATACTCATTGCTTTGATTTGCTTGTGACAATCATAAGGCGGCGTGTGTAAAAGTGGGACAAATATATGAGCATATATGTAGAAAAAAACAATCCACTCCAGTATAATTGCATTTGTTGTGTTGTAAGTGAAGACACGGTGGGAGACGTGTGGACTTTCTCGGTGTGCAACTGTATCTGCCTGAGGAAACTAATAAAGACAAAGCATTTCGCCACGATGCAAACGGCGTGTCTGCTGCCATTCAATCCGCACCAAACGTGTGCAGAAGGTCAACCTGTGGCGCATCTTCTGGAATCGGTATCCTTCCAATTTCCAAGTATTCTTTAGTGAACATCGCGATATCTTTGATGAAAAGCTGCACGGTGCGCTGATTGAAGTCCTCGGTCAGCTTCTCCCTGATGAGCTCGGCACATCTGTCCTTCGCCATCTCCTCCCAGCACTGTCGAAACCGGAGTCTTATCTGCGCCTGCAGGGCCGCAGACAACCGCGAGCTGAAAGCGTAACCAAGAGCGAACGCACGTCCTCTTTCTAAATATCCCTCAAAGCTCTCCCGTTTGTCTGAAAGCAGAACCCGCGCAGCTTCGACCACGGCGCCTGTCTCCTGCGTGCAGATGTTTTTCTCCTCTTCTGGTACACTTTCAAAAACACTCCGCATGTTTTTAAAGTGGCTCTTCCAGTCTTGCCCCTGCGCGATGCTTCCCCAGGCAAAAGCAGCAGATCTCGGGGTGTGTTTCACGGCAGCAAACACGACCTCGCTCAAAGGAGTCATTTCAGTCTTCTCGGCGGCTGTGACGTAGCTCCCGTGGTCCTGGTTCTGATCCACGCAGTCCACTTGGCTGTGGTTCACGCCCTTGAACAGATGCTCCTTGGTTCCTTTGAATCCCCAGCATTTCAAATAACCAACGCGGGTCTTGACTCCGTACTTGCGCCACCACTCGTGAGCTTTGTGCACCAGGTTCAGCATGCACGCGCGCGCGTTCCGGGCCAAGCACGGGCTGTTCACGGTGAAAACGTACACGGCGCGGCCCTGCGAGGCGGACTGGGACTGCAGAAGGTCCTGCGTTTGAGCGATGATGATGTCCTCGCTGTGTTCTCCCTTGTGGTAGTCGGGGTGATAAGGTCCATACATGACAACCTCCTCCCGGCTCTCTATGACGCCCCACGCGTGCTGCTTAACGTGGGCGCCGCTTTCCTCGGTGATGTCGCGGTGAAACTGCCAAAACTTCTTGGTGACCGACTCGTCGAGGCAAATGTCATCGTTGTGCCGACCGGACCTGAGATGCTCCGATACTTGGTTCACAGAGTGCTGCGTGTCGGCCCAGCAGGACATCTGCTCGAAGAAGCTCCAGCTGTTCGGCAGCTGTTTGGTCCCCGCGATCCTGCAGGTGTCGTGCATGCAGCTCTTCCTGTGACCCAGATGCAAATTATTTAAAGCATAAACACTGTGAAAGTGGTGGAATTGAATTGAATCTTCAATGCAAAACATTTAAGAGATACAAGTAACAATCATTTTGGTTAAAAGTAATAGTTTGACATTTTGTGAAATACAGTTGAAGGAGAGGACAGATAATAGAATGATAATAGAAATAGGAATAATAAGCCGCCTCTATAAAGGTAACAAAGAAAACCAAATACTCCTAATGAGTAACACCTCACATGTTTGCTCAACACAAAGCTTGATGAGAAGAATATCCCACGACTGGTTTTGACCCTTTCAGGAGGGCCTCAATGAAAGCAAAATGCAACAATTCTCATATGGTTCAGCTGACTATAAAAGTTACTCATATAGTTTATTTTATTTTTGCCGATAAGTCCTCTTAACTTCTCTTAAAGAGAATACTCCGTGGAACAGTAATGATGATCCATACAAGATGACATACTGTGACACTCTTGACCCCTCTACTTTGCTGCTACTAAAAGGAAGTGAAAAAGTGTTCTGAAATTCCCCCGGCTGGATAAATAAACCTGCACTTTCCTGTTGAAGCGCATCGCTTAAGACATCAGCTTCGCCTCACACATGAGCTTCACGTATACACTGTAAGTACTCACTGTAAGTACGTATACACTGTAAGTACTCACGGTAAGTACTCACTGTATACTCACTTCTGTCCGGCGCGCTCTGGGGTCGAGCCGGTCTTACATCTTTGCCGCAGAGGTTTGAGACTTTCCAAATATGGCTCCTTTTCATTTCCATCAACCCGAGATCGTTTACGGCCCGACCTGAAGAAAAAAACGAGCCGATTAGCACTCAGAGCAACCAACCTCCCTTGGTTGGTTGCAACCAACCTCCCTTGGTTGGTTGCTCTGAGTGCTAATCGGCTCGTTTTTTTCTTCTAGTGTCGACAGCTGTCTTTCAGGTCAAACCCTGGATGTTGTTCTGAGTTTACTTACATGAGTCCAAACCGGAGTCCTTCGCCTTGGTATTTTAGGAATCTAATTAAATTGAAATGTGTCTCCTCTTTCCCTTGCAGGGTCGGTGGTCGATGTACCAACGCTGTCTGGTCTCTCAAAAAAAAAGAAGCTCCGAGGAACAGAACCAGAAGAGCGGCCGCTGATGGGTCGCACTCCCAACGCGTTTACCTGGATCTGCTTGAGAGTTGATGACTTTTAGCACTCAGCTCCTCCTCTCAGTAATGCTCGGGAATCAAACCATCAAGCTGATTAGTGAAATATGAGTGCAATACTCAAACCTGAGTAGATATATCGGATCTGTCAAACATTGCCCGAGGGATAAAAACAGGACAGGCGAGTTTTGGTTGGGTGTGACAAAATGACATTTTAGTGAATTATTGCATTTTTAACTCATAAAGTCAAAAGAGGCTGGGAAAATACTCAGCAGCAGCCATCCTGATATCCAGCCTACGGCGACAACCACTGTAATCTCCTCTGTCCTCTCACATGGCTCATGAGAAATGTTGCGCAGTAAAAGATGTAGAGAGGCGTTGCTTTAAGTTGAACTCTGCAAACGTATATAAGGAGGGTTTGCTACAAACAGCCATGCAGAGGAGCGTGTTTGACAGGATCTGTGTGATACTCTTATTTTGGTGTCCGACCTACTGTAGCTTATCTCTGCCTCCAAGTCATGGTTTGTTTCAAATCTTAAATGCTGCAATAAAGAGTATAACATTTGATTTATTTTTCATAAAATGTCTCAATAAATATCAGATGGATTGCAAGGAAATTGTATCCCGGCCTTCACGGTGCCTAAATAATGAATCTTACTGGCTTCGGCATTTCTATCGCATTACCAACCTTACTAAAATGTGCGGCACACATGAGGGAACGAAGAGAACACAGGGACAAGGTACTAAGGGAGCATAGGACTCAGGAAACACAGAGCTGAGGAAACATAGGCCCCTGTGCATTCTGCTGCCATGTTTCCTGCAGCCTTTTTTTTTCATTGCATACTGATTGCTGCAGGCGTTCACACACACAGGCTGCAGACTGCAGCTTTCTCTCAGTCAACACAATGTGACTTTGGAATCAGTTGTATTCAAGTGTCCCAGAGCACCATTTATCACCATACCAGCGCTCTATGGTGTGCGTGTTAGCTCGCTGTCACACTGTCACGGCTTACCGGGACACTTACAGTCATGGCTAATGTCATTAGATGCCCCTTTGCTTATGATAAGTCCAAAGTCCGCCGTGAAAAAGGCCAGTTTCTCAGGGGCTTTTCCCCGAAGTGATTGTGTTCATCAACCGCATATTTCCATAATTAATTGCTACTCAACATTGAGGCAGCAAAGCTTAACTAAATTAGACTATGTAGTATTCAAAAATGAAGAAACGCCGGACGGACAGAGGTCATTGCCGATCAAAAGGTTAAATCAAATGTATTTAATAAAAGTGATGGTGTTGTGGTAAAAAGAACATCTCAGCTGAGGAGCCGCCGGTCTCAGCAACCAACAGGCTCCAGGTCAGTCCTTTTGACCGTCCCTAGTGCCCGTTTGTCGCCTCCACCAGCAAACTCGAGCACAATGGTTCCTACAGGTATTTATACCAATGCTTAAAGGTGTGAAAGTTAGTGCCCACGCCTCTGGGAGTGGTCTTCTGGTGAGTTCAATGTAACTCGGATTTCCCTCGGAATGACCCTCAGTCAACATCAGTTGTTGTTCAAGTATTACATGGATGCATTCCAGTTGATTACATTACATAAAATACAATCATAACTGTACATTGATGTTATTATATTATAGTTGCAGAATTACAGTGGTTTTACAATAGTGTCATTACTTTATTGATTACACAGTTTCAGAATCATGGCTGTATTCTGGGGTACAATATATGCATTTTTACTAATTTTATGAACCGGGTTGTCAATTTATTTCTAATAGCCTACAACTATCATGAGGGAAGACACCTATTGATTCTCTTACCTCTTTTAAATTCATAATAAATATATTTCACTGGCAATGGTACATTTAGTACTTTTATGTAATTGTGTGTAGTCGATCTGTAGAGTGGAATAGTTTGTACTCTTGTTCACTTATATAAACAATACACATCCTCTTCTCTTTCATTTTTCCATTTTTCTGCACAGAATCAAAAAAGCGCATCTTTTCATATTAAGGATTTAATAAATAATCACAAAAATGATAACCTGCCTCCATGCTGGACAAAATGGCATAAACGGATGAGCACTGTCAGACCAGACATAATATACAAAGAAATGTACTCATGGACGAACCAGCACAAAGGTTAGAACAGTAAAATAATGCATGTGTTCCACACAGGTACCACGATTACATAAATGCAATGAGCAGGTATGGTTTCCTTGGAGGATGAACAACGGACCAATCACAGACCGCGCTCCACTGCCCGTCCGCTTGGGCGGGGCATCACACCAGGCGCTCTGGTCACCCATTGGACGCCGCGCCGTATGCCCATGGCCCGAGAGCCAATCGGAGGCGTCGCTCGATCTGACGACTTCTCAGACAGGAAAGCCGCACTCCCTCCGTGGTGCCGCCGCGGCTCGCTGCTTCTCCGCGACGCCCCGCTCAGATGGGGAACATCTCTCCAGCTTCACACGTCAGTTTGTCAGAATAACAGCCGAAAGCCCACGAAGCGACATGGACATCCTGAAGTCACTGGCCCACCCGGAAGAGATATTCAACCTGTTCAAATTTAAAATGGGCGGGTGCAGAACCATCATGCCAAAGTTGAATTATGTGAGTAAACCCTCTGTTTTGAAATGTATGTCATGTTAGGATGAAGGAAACGTGCAGGATGGACACGCGGTTGCATTGACGTATTTTGACTCTCGGGTCGAGGGGCACGCAATAATATGCACCTAACAGACCGCATACCGATATTCTGTGGAAACGGAAATTCACACGGGCCAATACGCGAGAGGCTGCAATGTAATGGATCAACGTACGTGGTTCCATCAGAGTCAGCCCGTTAGATCACTCACTCCTGCTTTGGCTGTGATGTACACAAGAAGATGTGACTATTGACTCGGGATTTACTTCACATAATGAGCTTGGAGGGTTCAACGGCGGGGTTGGATGTTGTGCGCATGTTTAGCTGATAATCCCAATGTTTTAACCTCAATGTGACCCAGCGAGAGACATAGAGACCGCACACTGGTTTCACCAGAGTGTCTTCAGTCGGCATTTATTTGGGTTTGCAGGATTATTAAGCGACCCAGACAGAGTAAATCTAATCATAGTAATCTATCGTCTAATACTAGTGCTGACGACATGATATTCAGATACTATGTACTATATATATTATATATATTACTATCACACCTGTGTACAGACCAACCATCCCGTGGTTCCCTGATGCGTAGCATCTTCCCCAAAAAACAGCGTATCTCCTCTAGATCCTGTTCTGCAAATGTAGTTTAACTAACGTTAACTATCTATTTCTGAATCCGTAGTCTAACCTGCTGGACCAGCTCATATAATCCTGTTTATTGTCAATCAGCTAGTTTGATTTAGTGGGGAGAGAATTGTTTGAAAGCTGGACGAAGTTATTTTGAGTAACATTGCGCTCTTATTTTGAAATACAGGCAAAACTAGTAGAAAGTGCAAAACCCCGATCAGCCTTCATTTTATTGGTTAACTGCTGATCATGTGATTGTAGTGTCAGACGTGACGTAGTGGGAGAGGTGATCGCAGGCACTTTGTGCAATACATTTGCACTTTTATGGGTGTCATTTTTAGTTTTCTCCACACTTACTGTGAAACAATGAAACACCGTCAGTAGTTACACACCACATGCGATTAGAGGGGTCTTCAAGATCCATCGAGCTTTTTATTATTTTTAACTATTCGGGGGGAAATTTAATTTGGGTGATTTTTGAACTGACACGTATCTGTTGCTACCACGCATGATGATGGAGCAGTTAAACTGTAACCATTTCCAAATAATGAGCATATGCAGAACGAGAAGCGGATTATTTTTCATAACTACGCAGTCGCAAATTGACTAGACATGCAGATGGCGTCGTCGTCGTTGTTGTTGTTGGGTGGAGGTGGGCGGAGCCACGCCCCAACAACCGCAGATCTACAAACCCCGCCCCCCTCTGCGCAGCGAGGCTAGACTGTTCTGAGGTCAGTGCGCAGCTCTCCCCGCCCTCTTCGTGAGAGTTTCCAAAGTTTTGCCCCACCGCTCGACCCCTCGCGTCCTCTGCGTGGTGTGTTTTTTTTTTACCCCCTCGTGTTGTTGAAGCCGTGGCGTCGACTCGCGCGGCATGACTCCGTATGGCCGGAGCCTGCTGCAAGTGTCCCGCCTCGCTGTCCGTGCTCCGGCGCTCCCTCTCGGCCGCACCGCGGGGCGGCGGGTCCGCTCCTCGGTCCCTCCTACCGGGCTGGAGGGCGGGTGAGCGGGGCCTGCAGGAGGCCCGCCGACCCTCCAGCGCCTTCCGACCCGCGGGCCTCTACCGACACACGAGCTTCCTCCGTGTCTCCTACCAGGAGTCCATGAGCGAGAGTCTGCGGACCTGCTACCTGTACCTGAACCAGACCAGCAGGAGCTTCGCAGCTGTGATCCAGGCGCTGGACGGGGAGCTGAGGTGGGTGAAAAGCTGTGTGTGCACGGGGGGCGGGAGGGCGTGTGTGTGTGTGTGTGTGTACACACGCATGCATGCATGCATGCGTGTGTGCGTGCGTGCGTGCGTGCGTGCATGCATGCATGCGTCTCCCCTTCAAGGGAAGAACTCGAGTTTCTTTTGTTCCCCTTTCTGCAAATATATTCATAAAACAAGTAAAAACTACTACGAGCGGTTGGGACATTATGTCAACAACACCATGTTGTCCCGTGGAGATGCAATAGTGACACAAGGATAGCTTATCGATGGCTAATAGGCTCAATAAATCCGGAATGCACGCAACACATGGGGGGGCTTTTATGGACTTCAGGAGACCAGAAACAACTCAAACGTACATCTACTCTATAATAGAAGAGAAACATATTTATATTAATTTATCACAATTACCAATGAAATAACATTAAACTGTAAAACGTGTTCCTAGTGCAACTCATTATCTATTCATCTTTTGATGATACTATAACCTTAACAGGCACATGTAGAGTACAAGATTGATATCCCAAATCTGCTTTAGCCGATAACCCCAACATTCAATTTACAGGGTTATGAAACGGATAATTGCATCAGATAATCTGGAACCAACAAATATTTGGGATCATTGTTTGCTAAATTGCTTGGATGTGTTAAAAAATAAAAAGGTCTTTTTTTATGCAGGCATCCAGAAGCAGATGCATTGCAGCAATAACTCAAATGAACACACACAAACATCACTAGTGTCTGTGTTTGTCATGCAGACATGCCGTGTGCATCTTCTACCTGGTGCTGCGAGCGCTGGACACGGTGGAGGACGACATGACGATCCCACTGGACAAGAAGGTGCCCATGCTGAATGACTTCCACACCTACCTGTACCAGGACGCGTGGTGCTTCACCGAGAGCCAGGAGAAAGACCGGCAGGTCCTGGCCGATTTCCCCACGGTCAGTGTGCACGTATTGCACGTTACCCTCCTTCTGAATAGGATTAGCCGTTTAGTTCTTACTCAATAACGGAATACTCCACCGTGTTGATGATAGTTTAGTTTGTTAGTTGTTGTGAAGAAACATCTCAAACAAAGTCTTGGCCGCTGAGATTCATAGCTGTTATAAATACCTTCAACCCCCCCTCAGATATCACTGGAATTCAGAAACCTCGCTCAGGAGTACAGAGACGTCATCTCAGATATCTGCCACCGTATGGGGGAAGGGATGGCCGAGTTCCTGGAGAAGAAAGTGGGATCCATGAAGGAGTGGGACTTGGTAAAAGCTGGTTTCACAATTAAATCAACGGCAACGGAAAACTATGTCGCGTAGACGTTTCAATTGAAATGTTTTCACTTTTTTACCAATAAGTGTCCTCCTCTCGCTCTCTCTGCGTGCAGTATTGCCATTACGTGGCGGGGCTGGTGGGCATCGGCCTGTCTCGGCTCTTCTCTGCGTCCCAGCTGGAGGACCCCGAGGTGGGCCGCGACACCGAGCTGGCCAACTCCATGGGCCTGTTCCTCCAGAAGACCAACATCATCCGGGACTATCTGGAGGACACGCAAGTGGGACGTGCCTTTTGGCCACAAGAGGTAGAGCGGGTTCCTTTTTGTCCTGCTGGCAGTGTGTTTGACTGGAACCAGAATGGAACGTGCTTTTCACGTCACAGTCCAAGCTCAGTAGATGAGGTGTTACCACCCGGTGTCCCCCGCGCAGGCCTGGAGTCAGTTCGCGGGCCGTCTGGAGGACTTTGCCCATCCGGAGAAGCTGGAGTCGGCTCGCTCCTGTCTCAACCTGCTGGTCACCGACGCTCTGAGGCACGTTCCGGACGTCATCGCCTACCTGTCCCGCCTGCGCAACCAGAGCGTCTTCAATTTCTGTGCCATTCCGCAGGTGACCGCCGACTCCGACGCTTACAGAGACCAAGCGATGTTGTGATTTCTATCTATATGAGCTAAAAATGTAACCGCGTGCTGGTAGCTTTTTATGCTCTCGCTTGATAATGATAATGTTATTTTTTTATTTTAATAAAACAATAGTTACACCGCGCATGAATAAAGAAGAGATAAAAATAAGATCAGTTAAAAATAGTCAAGTGAACAGAAGAAGAAAGAATAAAACAATGTAAAAAATGATCATAAATCTGAATTACTATTATTATTATTATTATTATTTACTGAACTCACTGAGACTATTGAGAAACCTTGAACCAACAGAGAAGGAACCTTTGGCATAGAAACATCAAACTGAAGGGTCATTATAAATATTCTGCATGGCTTAAACAAAATAAAAACATGTTTGCACAAGATATTGTTTCAGAAGACAAATGTAGTTTTAAAATGTTTGTTTCCAACTAACTCATTTTCTACGCCTTTCCCGACCAGGTGATGGCGATAGCTACTCTGTCGTCATGCTACAACAACCCCATGGTGTTCAAGGGAGTGGTGAAGATCAGGAAGGGACAGGCCGTCACACTCATGATGGAAGCCACCAACATGAGCGCCGTGCAGACCATCATCTCCCAGTACAGCCAGGAGGTGTGTGTCTGTCTGTGTGTGTGTGTGTGTGTGTGTGTGTGTGTGTCCCCTTTTCCGCCACATTGGAGCACTTTTAACAGAACGGGTCTTGTCCCTCTGCAGATCTTACAGAAGGTCTCCCAGGCGGACCCGACGCGGGACAGAACCCTGCACATCCTGGCTGTGATCAAGGAGAAGTCGGCCCTGCCCGAGTCCAGCCTGCCCGCCAGGACCCACCACATGTCGCCCATGTACCTGTCTGCCGCCATGCTGCTCGCCGCTCTCAGCTGGCAGTACCTCAGCACCACCGCGGCACAGGCTCAGGGCACGGGAGACATGCACGGACAGTGAAACCCCCCCCCATCCTCTGACTATAGGATTCTGCAGTGCTTCTTCCCACTGCGAATGAGGAAAACATGTGATGACGTTGTACGTCACAAAGAAGAGAACACTCGCGACGGATGAACAGATATCAGTTCTGCTTTCACAAGAGGCAACGAACGGCTGGTTCAAATATGAAACTGAAAATATGGACACTGACCTTTTTAGATTTTTCTACCTATAGTCCGTCTCAAAATCCCCGGGTAAAATGTCATATTCTTTTGAGATCCAACACTGTGCAGCCCCGAAGTGGAGCGCGGGGGTCTCTAGGTTGATCGATGGTGATTTCTACTAGTCCATGATGCATCTGGGTAAACAATGTACACGCTGTGATGTACGGTTATATTCACCAGCATAAATAGCACTTATGTTGCAACAATTCAGTGCGTTTTGCTTTTTCATGTTGATGTTGATCGTGTGATATTTTCAATTTTTTTCTTTTGAAACATTTTGAAACTTCTAATTGAGTGAAATTTATTTGTCATATTTCGAGACAAAAAGTTAGATTTTCTTTACGTGGTGAAATGACACATGACACTGCCCACTTTAGGAGCTTGGGGAACATATTATGGTTTTGTTTGATTCTGGGTGATATCTAAACTACTTAAATCTATTCCACTCACATGGAAGAACAGCGTACTTCATAGTTGGCGCAGACGCCACGGACAGCATCCTTCGTATCAACACTTTAACGTCTGCGTCCTCTCTGTTTCAACTCCACGTCCTTCGGGAAGGAGAAAAGAACAGCGCTGCTCCAAAGTAGTTTCGGCTTGGACTGATCGAATGTGGTCAAATGTCATTTCTGGTGCATTTGATGTCTGAAACGAATGCAAACTGAGCTAGTTAAAGTGTCCTTAACACAGCGTTGGTGAGTAGAAAGGCTAGCGCACTTTGTACAGAACCAAAGGAGAGCTATAAACATTGCTATGTAATGTGTCATTTTGGTTTGTGTATATATTTTGACAAATAAAGATAATTTAAACGGTCTGAAGGGTGAGTTTGTGTACAGTTCATTATCTAAATGATTATGGTCGGGTTAAACGCAGTAAACATTTCAACACTTTACCGGTATTGTGGACGTCATCGTTTTTGTTGCTTTATTGTTTAATTTAAGATCATCCGTCAACCTTTGGAAGGACACTTTTGGTAAGTCACGTGAGATGTTACCTGACTTGCATTTATTCACCGGACATAATTCCATAAAAAGCTGATTATAAAAAGGAAGGTAAGAAGTGAGCGGACCTTCAGTAAGAAAGAAATTCTCAAGAAGATTGTCCATTGAAACGGCAACTCAGGTAAATATTACAACTTTTATTCTGAGATATTGTTGCTTTTTGGTTTTAAAGAATTCAATTGATATTTTTAATGATACTTGGTGTTTACCACATTTTAATTTTTTTGAAGTTTAACGTTGTGTACTCCAGGCTTCATACGGGTTATTGTACCAGCAATTATAACTTCAATTCAGCAGATATTATTCTATAACAGTGTTGTAAATAATAAGTTGTTGGTTTGAGAAAGTAACAGCTGATTATCTTGCCAGTGAAAATATAACAAAACCCTCGTTTTGAATTGGTTTTAACTTGTCACGAATAACTATGACTTGTATAAAGTTACACGCTAACCAATAAATACAATGCCTGCAACTATATTGTCTCCTCTACGTCGTTTGTGCTTCTGTATCCATCTTCAAATTCTCCAACTTGAACTCCAACTAAAAGGTCACCCTCCATAAAAGAACTTTCCCGAGCGACCTGAAGTCTTACCGTCGTTGCCCTCGTGATGCTCGGTGCTGCTCCGCCTCATGAAACGCTGTCATATCTCCCGTCCGAGCCGCCCGCGGTGGACGCGTCTCTGTCCTTGTGGTTCTGCCCGAGTCCGACCGCCGTCTGCTTTTCCCCCAGGATGCTTTCACCGGCTCTCCTGTGTGCACTTGTGACGCTCTCCGTCGCCCGTTCTCGGCCCCACCTCCCCGCCGCCGCCTTCCCGCAGATGGTCGAGCTGATCAACGAGGCCGACACCACCTGGATGGTGAGTCGTCACCGTCTCACCCCCGCTGTGATTCCTCTCATCTCTCATTTTAACCTGCGCTCCTCCTCGCTGCAGGCCGGCCTGAACCTCCGCCACCTCAACATCAGCTACATGAAGAGACTGTGTGGGACTAAACTGAATGGACCAAAGCTGCCAGAGGTGTAAGTTTAACCGCCAGGGATTGTGTGTGTCCATGGATGCGCTTGGTGACCGCTCCTCTCTTGCTCAAGGGTTCACAGTACCGAAGGCCTGAAGCTCCCGGACAGCTTTGACGCGCGCCAGCAGTGGCCCAACTGTCCCACCATCCGACAGATCAGAGACCAGGGATCATGCGGGTCCTGCTGGGTGAGATGCACCGAAAATGAAAGACGCGACGGCGGTGGATCAGGGAAGCCGGTGGACATCTTCACCCTGTGTTGCCTTTGATTTCCCACAGGCCTTCGGTGCTGTGGAGGTGATCTCCGACAGGTTGTGTATCCACAGCGATGGTAGGATCTCTGTGGAGATCTCTGCCGAAGACCTGCTGTCCTGCTGTCATGACTGTGGCAAGGGGTTAATATTTTTAGCGGAAGAAATGAGTCTATTCCAGGTCTTTTAAGGGGACTTTATCTATAGTGTTTTTTTTTTTTCATTCCTCTCGTGGACGCAGGTGTTTGGGCGGTTATCCGTCTGCTGCTTGGCTGTTCTGGGCAAACAAAGGCCTGGTGACGGGAGGCCTCTACGGCTCCAACGGTGAGTGGGTCCGTGCAGCTTTTTCAGCGAGTATCGAAAGCAAGTAACGCTCATGAGCTGAAACGACGGTGGCGCGTGTTTACAGGCTGCCGACCCTACAGCATCGCTCCCTGCGAGCACAGCGTGAACGGGACTCGCCCGCCCTGCCACAGGGAGGAGGAGACCCCCAAGTGTGAAGAGCGGTGCGTCGACGGATACTCGACCTCCTATTGGAAGGACAAGCACTTGGGTACAGACCTCCAAAACGAGCTGCCGAGTTGCTCCCCTCCCCTGCCTGTGGCTCCTGTAGTCACACGTCGTTTTCTGGTGTGTCCCACCCCCGTCGTCCCCGTCCCCCCTCCACAGGCAGAGACGCGTACAGCGTCCCGTCCCAGGAGGAGCAGATCATGGCCGAGCTGTTCAAGCGCGGGCCTGTGGAGGCCGCCTTCTCCGTGTACACAGACTTTGCGCTGTATAAGACGGGTGAGGCCGGTTTGACTTTGTCTCTCGAATAATACAACCGGAGCTGTTTCAGAATCAAACTTGAAACCTTCTTTGCCTCATTGTGGACTTGAGTGGATTTGTCCTTCTCAGATTGTTGCATTTAAAGATTTAAACATTTTACAAAGGTAAACTCGAACGTGTCTGTCTGTCAAATCTTTAAATCACATATAGATGTTAAGCTGAGGAAAACCACCACAGTTGTCCTTTCAGACCTGTTTCATTGTAGTCCTTGCTACTCTACTGAAGGTGTGTACCAGCACGTGACGGGTGAGATGGTGGCCCGTCACGCCATCAAGATCCTCGGCTGGGGGAAGGAGAACGGGACGCCTTACTGGTTGGCTGCAAACTCCTGGAACAGCGACTGGGGAGATAAAGGTGCGACCAAATTTTGGGACGTCATGTTTCTTGGTCACTTATTCTTCAGGTCACATGATTCTGTGTCTTTTCATTTCAGGTTTCTTCAAGATCAAGCGTGGAAATGATGAGTGTGGTATTGAGGCGGATGTGGTTACGGGAATGCCATTTAACTAGAATAAACTAGTCCTGGCACTTAAGCATTGCATTTAAAAAGGAAATTATTGAGAGATTTCATGTGGTAAGCGGGGAATAAATGGTGTAATGAGAGCTCTGTGTGCTTGCTTTGTTATTGATGTAGATGAATCAATATGTTTCTTTCCACTTTCTTTACCAAATGAGAGCGTTTCTAGAGCTTCACAAGGGAATTTAAAAGGTCTGAAGCACAAGTTAGACTGTCTAATAAGGTGCAGCTGAGACTTCTTGTTAGGGGCTGGATATGACGTTTATATTTGCATGTCAAAGGGAGATATTATCCTCTGTTACCGCCTGTAAAACGTCAACATGGCAGACGTGGACTTAAATGGACTTAAAGATTAGGGATTCTTTTTTCTATCCTTACAAAGCTTGAACATATAGAAAAGAGCTCTCACTCTACTTCCATTTCTAGGAAGGAAAAGTGGGGCAAGAGCAAATTTGATTGTTTAACCACAACATGCGAGAGCCCACCTAACTGAGACTTTTTATTTGGAACAGTTTTTTAAACTCCTGGAAGGGGAAATTAGAATGAGGCATTGTTTATGTCAAATTACACACAAATAAAACGTAGTGCACATACAGACCCCCATGACATATAATCTCCCCATGAGCCCCCCAAACCAGCAATAACTTAATCAAACACACACACTTGTGTATGAATGCAGGGTAAAATCAGCTGAAATACATCAGGTATTCAAAAGTACTCTTTGATATTGGATTTACAATAAAAAAATATAATTTAAATAAATAACAAAATCGCTCCAGCGTCGTTCGGAGTGTGGCGCTAACGCACCCGGTACCGCTGTGGCCGACCGCCCGCGCTATAAAGAACGAAGAAGAAGGAGAAAGACAATGACTGCGCATGCGCATCAGTTACCTTCCATATTTGTAGTCCGGCGGGTGAATACCCTCACCCGTCGTGAAGGACGTTATAACACGAGACCGAGGCGCACTTTTGACACAGTAAGCGTCTGTTTGAACACACGATCTTTGTTCGCCGCTCCGAGTGAACCAGGAAGAAGCGGCGGGCGACCGGAGGGGGAAAAAAACCCGTTAGCGAACCCGCAGGTGGATAGCGGCTTTTTTTTTTTGCTGTTGCCATCACTGTCAGAGGTGATGAGGACGCGTCGCTGAAAAAAACCGGCAGCGGAGCTGAAACGACACCTGAACGCGTTAGCCGGTGGTGATGAAGGCAGGTTGTCAGGCGTTACCGTAACTGACGTTACGCGTCCCTTTTGATGCATCTCTGTGCCATTGTGTCGGTCACGGAGCCGTTAACCGCAAAGCACCGTCAGCTAGCCGCAGCGTTAGCTCCCTTCTGCAGCTAACCGAGTGAGGCGATAGCAAAATGTTTGTAACGCACTGGGAGGTGTGGGGAACATACTGGGAGTGTGTTTCCAGACCGTACACGGTGTTCCTGTGCTCCCTCACGGCCGCGCTGTGCTACCTGTGGGGCCGCAAGCGTCAGGTCAGTCTCTGCGGGGAAAGGTCAGCGGCAACGCGGACGAATGACCGCACTGCGCGCGCCTTCTCTCTTCTACTCATGTCCTCTTTTTATTCTGGTTCCTTCTTATTGAATATTCTATTTAATATATATATATATATATATATATATATATATATATATATATATATATATATATATATATATATTTTTTTTTATTATATAGTTATTTATATAAATTTATATTATTGTTCCTGCTATGAGTTTCTTGGGCTCAGTGTTTGGAATGCTTGACCACATAATTAGTTTATTCTTAACGTTAATATATATATATTTTTGGTCCATTTGTTGTCATCATTGTCGTGTCATCGACCTCTCACTGGAGGAGTTATAATCGCTGGCAGTCACATTAAAAAACACCTTTAAAAGGAAGATTAAATATTGAAATTATTTTCCTCATAGCTCGGTCTGCCCGATATTATTGTTATACACTTTCCTATTATATGCAACTGAGAAGAACCGCAAATCCAGGACATGGATTCAAGGTCCAGGCCTTCGATTACTCACGTGGGTGTTGGTTTACTGCCACGTAATACTCGTGTTATGTGCTCTGTTCCAAAAGTCACGGGAAATTTAACCGTTACAGAAAGTGTAAAGCACTGTAACTTATAATTGTGCTTTCATACATTACACCTAAAAGGTGGTTTAATCTTGGGGTTGTGCTTTTTGACTACGCTGTTCCACACTACAACCCTTCCCTTACTTTTAAAGCTCCCTACCTCTAATACTGCACCATCTGTTTTTACGTGTATTCTTGTCTCGTCACAAACACTAATTTCTAGAAACTTGTCTTTTTCTTTTTGCCATTCGGCCTCTCCTGCTCTCAGACACCTGCCCTGGTCTCCGGCCAGGCTTTCGGCGCATTCCTCTACAAGCACTGTCCCGTGGTGGCCGAGCGCTTCAGTCCCACTCCGTGGTGCTGGGGGGGCCGGCTTCAAACCCTGGTCTGCGCCGTCCTCAAGTCCCGCCCCGCCGTCACCTATCGCAAGTAAGTTAGTCCCTTTGCTCTGATCCGGCCCCTTTTTCCCGGCGCCATCCTGTTCCACAGTCTCTCTCTCTCTCTCTCTCTCTCTCTCTCTCTCTTATTTATATATATATATATATATATATATAATGTGTTTTATATAATTCTTGTGATCCTCCCTTCATCCATCAGTGAGCTGATCCCTACGGTGGACGGGGGTCAGATTTCTCTGGACTGGATGGACAATCAGGACAGTGCGACCTACCCGGACTCCTCCACGCGGCCCACGGTGCTGATCCTCCCGGGCCTGACGGGCAACAGCAAGCAGTCCTATGTGCTCCACGCGCTCAACCAGGCTCGCCGCCGCGGCTACAGGTCCGTTGTGCTCCTCAGGTGTTCTCCCCCCCCCCCTCTTTAATAATACAATTATTAAGAAGGATTTATCCGTGAGAACAGAACTCAAAGGGAAACTGCCTGAATATTTCCATTCAGCAATTTGATGACTAAATGACCTTGAAGGAGTAAGGGTAAAGCTTGACTTAAAAAGAACACGCATCATTTATTTGTATTGCGCTGAATTTAATGTCCAGTAGCAGTGATCATAGACGTGGTCTTTTTCCAGATGTGTGGTTTTCAACAACAGAGGGCTCGGAGGTGAAGAGTTGTTGGTGAGTGCAATCATTACCGAATAAACACTGACCTGCGATGAGCACTGCGCTGATGTTTGCTTGCATTTATACTCAAGCCACAACTGCCCACCGTCTAGAACGAGAGCTTAGCAAACACATGTTTCACTTACACAAAAAATGGTACTGCAAACGTGACTCTAAGGCTGATTATAGCTCCTACTGTGCCTTAGATCTCCATTGTTGTGCAAAATCCATTATTAACATTTCATAAGGGTCGACAGTGTCATTTCTTTTATAGTCAAACACACTCGTTATTAACCCTCAGCTGAAAGAAGTCCATTTGCTTTGAGTAACTCTTTGGATTAGATTGGATCTGTTACAATAACCTGGACGGGCTTCGGTAGTTTAGCGGTTTTTGGGAGACTTAACTTAACTGAGACAATGTTGGTTTTGGTTTGGCGTCGTCATGGCAGCCGTAACGCCCGCTCTGGCACTTGAACGCAGCCTCTGCTCCTCTATCCCTCCGCTCGCTGCAGACGCCCGTCACCTACTGTGCAGCCAATACCTCCGACCTGGAGCACGTGGTGCAGCACATCAAAGGACTTTACCCATCTGCCCCCGTGCTCGGTGCTGGCGTGTCTTTGGGAGGGTGAGCCGAAGCACATTGTGGTGTTTTTTTTCATTTTTTTTCAACCGCCTGCATTTCTTATTTCATGGTGAAATGTATTCGGTTTCCATTTAGTCAAAATGTGCTGTACCCCCCCCCCTTCATTTTCCCCTCCTGTGGCCGTGCACAGCATGTTGCTGTTAAACTACCTGGCCCGTAAGCGCACGGACTCGGGGATGGTGGCGGGCATCACCATCTCGGCCCCCTGGAATGCGCTCAAGTCGGCGGCTTCGATGGAGGAGCCGCTCAATTGGCTGCTCTTCAACAGATACCTCACCGCCGGCCTGTGCAGTGCTGTCACCAGGTGGGACAAGTCACACTTTCTTCCTAAATATCTGTGGTTCGTTTAAAGAGGTGTCGTCGACTCAGAAAACCACGTTTCCCGCAGGCACAGGAAGGTCCTGGAGAAAGTGGTGGATATCGACCATGTCTTGAAGGTAGGTGTTCGTTTCTCTTCTGTCAGAGTTTCTTGTTTCCTTGTGCGGTGTCTTCGATGGCCTTTCCTTTTTGATCCAGGCGCAGACCATCCGCGAGTTTGACGAACGCTTCACCTCCCTGCTGTTCGGTTATAAATCTTGCTCCGACTATTACTTCGACGCCAGCCCGGACAACAAACTCCACAATACGACAGTCCCCATCTTGTGCCTGAACGCCGCCGACGACCCCTTCTCTCCGCAGCACGGTGAGTGGACGACACGGGGCGGCCGGCATTGTGTCGGGCCTCTGGTTTTGTAGCTTTTCACTTGCCAGACGTCGTGTTAAACTGGCTGGAAACCGGATGCAGTGGTGCGTTTTTATGTGGGCTCCGTAATCCTTTCTCCTGTGTTGTGGTTAATATTTCAGTCCGCAGTGCAACAAAGGACCTATTGAACGTTCCGGCAATCTTTTTATTGTGTTTTCTCGCCCGACCCGTCAGCCTTCCCGTTGACCACGATCCAGAGCCTGCCTAACGTCGCCCTGTTGCTGACGGCCCACGGTGGACACATCGCCTTCCTGCAGGGTCTGTTCCCCCGGGGGGAGAGCTACATGGAGCGCCTGTTTGGGCAGTTTGTCCAAGCCGCCTTCGAACACCCCAAGGACATCAGGAAGGCCTGCGGCGTTACGGACGAGCACGCGTCGCCTCCGTCTGTAGGATAACTGCAAGCTGAGAGGAGAACAAAAAGCTCTTCACTAAAGTGCATTGCTCAGCTTTGCATGTCGTCGTGGAGCCGCAGCGTGCACAGCTGTAATGTACAATCGTTTGACCTCGCTGCTGCAGCAATGCTCTCTACCTCCTCGTCTTCTCAGGTTCTCTTTTAATGATCAAAGGAGATCTTGAGTGCAACTAAGATGAAGCTTCAATGCACCCAACAAAAGGATTCATACATTGGTTTAAGAACAAAAAGAAGTCAATATAATTGACTATAAATCCGTTTTAATCACATTCTTTGTCCCACACGCCGTCCCAATCGGACTTGATGCAATGTAGTGTGTGTTGAAACCGAAATGCACTTTTATTCATACAGAGTGTTTTAAGTGTGAAAACTATTCTGAAATGTAATTTTAAATAGAAATGAATTGAATGTTAATGAACCACACGCATACGGTCTGTTTTGCCTGGTGGGCTACTTTGGATTTGCGAGATTTGCTTTCCTTAACGTGTATAACATTTTGTAATAGGATTGCACTCCCTGCACGCATGCTTTACACGCATACAATTCCTCAACACTTTGGAAAGGAAATCCTGCTACGGTTCAGTTATTAAAACTGTTTCAGCCTGAAAACAGCAACACGGTGGGAATGCACACATCCACCATGAAGAAAGGACTCATGGTGTTGCAAGACAGGTTCATCTTCCGAGTTGTGATTTTAAACAAAAAACTGAACTGTAAATATGAAAAAGTATTGTGTGCTTGAATGTGCTTCTGCAGTGTAAATCATGCAGTACATCACAGGTGAATAAGCTGACTCTGCAAAAAGGACCGGAGGTAGCGTGTACCTGCAATCAATAATTCAATAGCGCTTTTAAAAAAACTTGTGTGCGAGTTGTAATGTGCCTATTGTTTGACACGGTCGCACAATGTCTGGACAAGTGGCAATAGAAAAAAATCACTGATTTGAGCCCGTTGGTGTGCGAGCTGAATGTCTTTTCAAATTAATCGAGAACACAAACTGTGTGTGTGTGTGTGTGTGTGTGTGTGTGTACCAATACCAATGGTGCACTGATGAAGCAAACATTGTGTTATGATGACAAAACCCAGAATTTATGATGTACGTCATTATTACTAGTTGTTGAACTCTTAATAGGAAATGTGCATATTGTATAGTTGTTGTATTACGTTTATTTACTCATCTCTTTGCAGATGTTGACCACTTTCACTTGCCTTCAGTAGTTTTGCTTCTGTATGAGCTGTAGCCACAATCAGAGTGTTTGCAATACCAGTTAAGATTGTTACCGTGCACCTGAAACAATTTTGGCATTATGAACAACCTTGATGTGTTGTTGTTTTTTGTAATTACACTTGAATTAAAGAATTATAATCATACAGATATGATTTTGTTTTGTGGTTTCACGCCTGGAAGACGTCCATTACACTCTGTGTCGTGAGTGGCAGAGGACACTTAATCCCTTTAAATCAAGTCAAATCGCCATATTGGTCTGAATGGAAAAAGGTCACAGAACACACGCTGCCAGCCACTGAGTTCCTTCCTGCCCCACAGCTGAAATCCAAGAACCTTTTATCTCTGATCGCCGGGGTCGATGTCATTTATTAACCAGTAAGTATCAATAATTAACTGTGAACAATAAAAGGCCCACACCCTCTGTAACAATGCAAACCCTCCAGCCTCTTATAGGCTCATTTAATTAATGCCATTTACTTTGTGGAAAGAACCAACAAATTAGGCGCTTTCTAACTTTAGCAGATATAATCAAATTTCTCCCGTTGGCCCCTCAGCGCTCATGATTCCCTTCAACTCCTTCTGTCACATGTGAATGTGACCCTGAGGGGAAAGACACTCACTTTTATCATCTTTTGTCAAGAGATTTTTTTTTGAAAAAACAACGTACAAAACTAGGATTAATTTCTAGAAAAAACTATAAAATTCATTGAAATCACGCTCAATTGTTCATTTCTGCAGATGTGCTTTATTTCTCTCACACCTAAAATTCAGCTTTTTACCAGTGCATCCTCCTGCTCCTCCTCCTCCTCTTCCTCCTCTACCTGATGTGATGGGAGGAGCCTCGGGTTGTCGTTACTGATTCAACACCGGAGCTGCTGAGATTGACAGAAAGACAACTGGGAAGAGAGGATTGAGGGCGAGACAGAGAGCGTCAAGAGAAGTCAAGATAGTAAAAAGCTAAAGAGCAGACATGGCGATGCAAACCGAGGAAGCGTGCGGCGGGAGAAGATGAGGTGACGCCAGAGGGGTTGCAGGCTGCATCTTTGTATCTGCACAGGTGTGTCTGGAGGTCCGGTGTCGGTCTCCTGATACTGAACACACGGTGAACTCTTGTCTGAGTGCTCGTCAGCGGTTCCGGGTGATTACTTGGCTCCTATGATCCACGCGGCCTTTGTAGGCGTCTACTCTCCTGGTCCACACGCAACCTGCAGGTGAGTGCGTCTTCATATCACCTGTGCTTTTCACAGCTGTCTTGTCACGATGACGAAAGAGGATGAGTCCATTTGTTTAAAGGGCCAACTTTTACCTTTGCAGGCTTGTAAACAGCAAAAATAAACCTGTTTTGTTTTTTAGCCGTATTGAGGCGATGCAGTTGTTGCCTATGAAGTAAAAGGATGATGATGTGTCCCGCATATTTTCCATTTCCCACCTGGAATAAGTAGCTGCTTAAACCGACCGATGTTAAACACAAGTGTCGATCCCGATAGACTTTAAGAGAAATATATCAGTATTTTCTTGCCGTTGCGTCACCTGAATAAAAGAATAAGGCTTATCCTCCCAATCAGGTGTTTTTAGTCACAGCTGCAATTAAAGTTAATAAAATCCGCAGATTTGACTTTCCAGCATGCAGTTTAACGTCTTTCAATTGCTGCCTTTGTGTTCCCCGTAAAACTTTAAAGAGATCGTTATCTCTCCTGCAGCACGGGCCTTTTGGCTCTGCAGCGGCCTCGTGTTCTGCACTGGACCGGATTATCGCCCGGTTCTTCATGCTGAATCATTGCTGTGATGGAAACTATCACTTGCAATCTAGTTCACAGCTGTAAAGATCTTCGTTCAGATCCAACGTGTTTTTCTTGCAACTCGCGTCAAACCAACATCCCTCTTTAAAAGTACAACAGGAGCCATTTTATTTCCCCCCCAGGGTTTGATTGGCCTTTTTTTTCAGCGGCTTTATGATTTCCACCAACGTAATGTCTAATCTCAGAGCTGTCCAATGTTCAGGGTGAAGGGGCGGGTAACTTGGGGACGGGGGTCACGTGACGAGGCAAATAGTACGTGCTGGCGTGTGTGTGTTTAGGATACTGGTCCCGTGACCAATATCCTAAATCTCTAAAACCTCTCCAACTTAAACACAAACTTAAACACTCAATCATACAGCAGAGGCTGTTAAGGTCCCCTTATTGCCTAAAAGCAAACATCCCGTGAGACTAAATAAATAGCAAACAGAATGCAATAAAAGAGCTAATAACAGAGGTTTTGATTCGGTCTTAACGGGTTCTGTCAACAGCTCTTTAGCGCGAGCTGGCAGGGTGGGACAGCGTTCAGAAAGCACCCTGTTGACTGTCCTTCATTAGTCTGCATTATTCATCGGGGCTCTCGCTGTGTGCAGGCAGTGCAGTGGGTAAAGAGGCATCAGTACAGGTGCAGGAGGGGTTTGTGAGTCTGCACATGTTGCATGTTCGGTAGAGTACAGGTACGTGTCTGGACGCCGAGCACCGATAGTGCTGCAGGTTGTCTTCACTCCGTCCCTTCCTTGTCGTCTATATCTTGTGGTGTGTTTTAAAAGATTCTTTCGTCCTGTAGTCATGGAGAAAAAACTAGAGGAGCTGAAGCAGCAGCTACAAAAGCAATGTATGATCAACCAGGAGCTGCAGCGGCAAAACAAAGACCTGGGTGAGTACAATTCTAACTGTGTGCCATTGAAGAGCTAACTTCACATAGACGACTGTTACAGTAACACTGTAAATGAAATGTCATCTTTCATTTTCAGTACATGTGTTGATCGCAGGGCCTTAACCTACATGATTCCGTCTCATTAGCATGTTCCTTGTGATACTTTGTGCTTCACGTGTGTTTTTCCGCTTTCGTCCTCACAGAACAACGACTGCAAGAGAAAGAAAGGCTTTTGCAGGAGCTGAACGGCCAATATGACGAGCTGGGTAAAGAAGTGGGCGCCGGGGACACGGACGAGGTGACCTTTGACACCACATTCAGCCGCAGACATCTACAGTTAATGCGCTGCGCTGATTTTTTCCATCTCAGGTGTCCCCTCTCAGAGCGGTAATGTCGTTGAACCGGAGATCAGAAAGAGCCGCGCCGCTGTCATTGCCTCTGAGCCCCTCCCCGAGACCCTGGAGATACGCAAGAGGGTCAAGAAAGTGGCCAGGTTGGTAATCGGCACTGCTGATGGCAGGAGACCGCGCGGCACCTTTTGATTTGCGGGGGTTGGTGGATCGAAATGCATGATGGCGATTCATTTGGGGTTCCAATGAACTGAGCTGCGGACCACTTCTCCTCACCTCCTCCCACCAGCGAGACCAGTCTGATCGTCAAAGCCATCCAGAAGAATGACTTCCTGAGCCGCCTGGACGACGAGCAAACAGCCATGATGGTGGACCTCTTGGCGGTGTCCAGCTACAAACCCAACGATGATGTCATTAAAGAGGGCACAGAAGGAGACAGCATGTACATCGTAGCAGGTTGGTGTGGACGTGGGGCTTTTGTCCTCCCTGCTGTGGCCGTGGATTTCTTCCAAAGTTTCCAAAATCTTTTCCTCCCATCTTTTAGCCGGTGAGCTCCTGGTTACTCAAGCGGGCCAAACCCTGCGCAGCCTGACCACTGGGGATGTGTTCGGGGAACTGGCCATCTTGTACAACTGCAGGAGGACAGCTACGGTCAAAGGTCAGTCCCTGTGATTGAGGCCTCTTGGGGTAATTTGGGATGGATTACAGTACAAATGGTTGCATCTTTGTGGTTTCAATTGTCTTTGTACCCTTTTCTAATATGGGAAGACCGAGAATCTTAACCGCTCGTCTCGCTCACTTGTTGCAGCAAAGACAGCGGTGCGTCTGTGGTGCATGGAGCGACAGACCTACAGGACAATCATCACCAACAAGTCCAAGAAGAAGCGCGAGCAGCTCCTGGGCTTCCTGAAGACGTTAGTTCATGAACTCTGCAGCCGAGGACACATTTTATATCCTGTTTGATTTGGTGGTTTTTTGTTAATTCTCACTGCCATTGGAGTTGCTTGACATCCAACAACTATCTCGGGGCCGTTCACAGGTCTCGTACTCTGAAGGAGCTGAACGATGTCCAGCTGTCCAAAATCATTGATTCTATGGAGGAGGTGTGTACTTAGATGTCACAATGTGAACTTTGTGTGGTATGAGTGAATGTTGATTGGCTACTTTAAAGTGTTGGCTACTTTTATCTGTTATTTAACATAAAATCAAAAACAAGGGTATTCTTAGTTTCTTGTGTAGTTCTAATTTGGGTGTTTTTTCTATTTGTTTTTTGTTTCCGACATACTAAATCTCAGTAGCCCTGATAAAAAGGCATTTTCAAGACACTTTACTATTTGTGACGCTGTCCTGCAAATCAAATTTTATTTTATTTCACCTCAAACGTATTTGATTTGAGTTTTGCACGTGATGAGGAGATCTAATCCTGTTTGTCTCGTCTCCCTCAGGTGAAGTACCAGGACAAAGACGTCATCGTCAGAGAAGGAGCAGAAGCAAACGCATTCTACATCATCCTGAAAGGAGAGGTGCGGTGTTCCATTGTGTTGTTTTTGTGTGCGTTGCACCGGCCCGTTTATAAAAATAAATGCACTCGTGACGTCTTCCTCCCTGTCTGGTGTGTTTGGCCCTCAGGTCTTGGTGACCAAGAACGTGAACGGGCATCAGAAGCAGATTCGTAGGATGGGGAAAGGCGAGCATTTCGGGGAACAGGCCCTCATACGGTAACCATGGCAACGCGTGCCTCGGGGCACTCGTTAGAGACTTGTACAACTCCCGGTGCTCCGTGCACCTCCTTCAGGCTGCTGCCATCTCTGACACTGTGGTTGCGCAACCTGACGGCTATCTTCAGTGACAGGAAGTTGCTTCACAACGAACTTCCTTAAACTCTTCAGATCCGTTGGTGTCCAAATGAGTCAAAATTTTATGTAGCAAACTTCTGTCTGCATAAAAACCAAGTACATTGTAGAACAACAAAACACTCATGCGGAGATATTGTCTTTTTAATAGAAATGTAATAGTTCTATTGGTTTATTAGACATAGATTTGTACAATGAATAAATAAATAAATGAACATGTGACGAGGGAATGTGTTGCGAAAAGCCTGTGAATCAAGAAACCGTGTGTCATTGAATCTTCTCTTTCTCCAACTATCCTGACGCACACAAAATTGGTGTATGAACACTAGTGACATATAGTTTCTCCTCCCGCAGCGAAGTCTTGAGAACCGCCACGTGCAGCGCCGAGGGCCCAGTCACCTGCCTCTCCATCGACAAGGAGTGAGTGGCTCCACGTCACACGTTAGGGCTCTCGATGCCGGAGGGAAAGAGCCGCCACACAATTCCTCCACTGCATTTGTTTCTCTGTCACACGTGTATCCAGTGCGGCGGCGTTTTGTCGTGTGCTTTTTTTGTTGTTGCATTGATGCTGTTTTCACTGACGACACCTTTCGTTTAGGGTGTTTGAAGAGACAATTCCCATAGAGCACCTGGAGCTGTTTGACGAGTAAGTGCAGCACTTTGAATCTCGCCGGCATTAGTGCGACGGGTAAATGCCTTAATAGGCTGCACTGATTCGTTTGGTTTTTACTTCCAGCTCCAAAGTGCTGCAGGAGGCAGAAGCTTCAGAAAAGTCGAGGTGAGTGGTTGTCGAAGCCGATAAGACAGAGTGGATGGGAGGCAATAAGATGCAAAACGGTCATGATGACATAAATAAATGAGTTCCTTGAGGTGAATAGCCTTTGTTTCATCAGTCCCGGCTCCACTCTGAGGTTCAAGGACCTGGTCCCGGTGCTGTACCAGGAGGGACGCTATCAAGGGGATCCCGTCACGCTTGGAGTCGGAGGGTTTGGTCGTGTGGAGCTGGTGAGTGTGTTTGTCTTATTCAGAGAGTCAATAAAAACTCCTTCCTGGGGCTAAAATGTTGTCAGGACATTCTCGAGTATTCTTTGGATTCTCCTTGATCCCGTCGCCCCCGTTTTTTCTTATTTTAAGGTGACCACAGTGAACCATGAAGAATATTACGCTATGAAGCGAGTCAGCAAGAAGCACATAGTTGCTAAGAGACAAGAGGAGCACATGCTGTTTGAGAAAAAGATCCTCAAAGCCACCCAGTGCAACTTCATCGTCAGGTATCTACGATGCCAGACGCGCAGTCACCGTCATTTATTGAAAACGGTTTAACGTGCAGGCGACCTGGAGGTCTGAGTCGGTAGATAATCCGGCTTTAATCCAGTTTTCTCTCCCTCTCTGCAGCCTGCACGCCGCTTTTAAAGACACGCGATACATCTACATGGTCATGGAGTTCTGTGTGGGAGGAGAGATCTGGACCAAACTCAAAGAAGTGTGAGAAAATAGAAACCCCCCCTTTTCCTCGTTTTGATGTTTGTTCAAGCGGAACATTGGGGTGCGCTGTTGCGCGAGGTGGAGCTATTCCTCAAAAAACGCTTTTTCCGAGCATCGCTGCAAAATGTGATGGAAGGTCAAGCTGGCCGAGGAGAAGGTCGCTGAAGGGTCGTGTCTCTGGTTTCAGAGGGCGTTTTGACGAGCCCATCGCCATGTTCTGCACTGCCTGTGTGGTGGAGGCCTACGCCTACCTCCATAAGAAGAACATCATGTACAGAGACCTGAAGCCTGAGAACCTCATGCTGGACATAAAGGGCTACGTCAAACTGGTCAGCACTCGCCTGAGTGTCCATCTTTAAACTGTTTAAGCTGAATTCTGTTTCCACATGCAGCGTGTGTGTGTGTGTGTGTGTGTGTGTGTGTGTGTCGGCAGGTGGACTTTGGTTTCTCCAAGGAGATGGTGCATGGGGACAAGACCTACTCGTTCGTGGGTACTCCCGAGTACATGGCGCCGGAGATCATCAAGAACCAGGGACATGACTTTGCAGTGGACTTCTGGTCCCTCGGCGTCCTGATTTATGAGCTGTTGGTGGGAAGGTGATACTTTTACATGTGCCCCTATCAGAAGAAAGCATTTCTTTTAAACTGTTTTAAGCAAAAGAAGTCAGACAAATGTTAACCAGTAGATGGCAGTAGAGAAATGTGACAATCCGACATCTACAGGCAGGACTTCAAGTTTCTCACCAGCAAACGAGACATGGGATTTTTTTTTTTGCTAGACTGTAAAATGAACAGTCTCTTCTCTTCTACTTGTCAGCCCTCCGTTTTCCAGTTCAGAGCCTCAGAAGATTTATGCAAAAATCTTGGACGGGGTGCTCAAGTACCCGCCTTACATGAGCGAGGCAGCCAGGTCCATTATCAGCAAAATGTGCAGGTGAGACAAATATGATGCTTCAAATCTTTTATAACGGATAATGCTCTATGTTTAAAATGAAGTCATTGTATTGCCTGAATAACTTTCTCGTAATATGGAGCTGGATCATGTAGTATGTACGTAAAAATGATGGCGGTTAAGCCTATTGATGCAGTTACTCCCAGTGTATGAATTACTGAACACATTCATTCAATCGATTATAATACACACTTATTTTGTTTTGCTGTTTTGAATGCATATCTCTTGTGATCAATAAAAGAATTGGCTGATGTATTGTGTTAATAATTGCAGACCTCGGCCGGGTCAGAGGTTAGGAAACACCAAGAACGGAATCAGAGATGTCCGGAATCATAGGTAACGATAGCCGGGTGATGTGCGTGGGCGTCGGACAGGAAAATGGACTTGACCCCTTCGTGAACCTTTGTCTGATCTCCTTGTTTTTACTGCTCGCTGGCTTCCTCGCTCCCATCGCGTAATCATCCTCCTTCTCTTCCCTTCAGGTGGTTCAGCAGCATGAACTGGCACAAGCTGCGTGTGGGTCAACTCGACGCCCCCACAGTCCGGCTCATTCGCAAGGCAAGTAAAACCATCCCAGCCTTGTTTAGTAATATTATTATTATTATTATTATTATGTGTACCGTGAGTTACACCTTTTGTTCAGCCTAAGGAAAATAGTGAAAAAGAACCCCGAACAGCCGATTTTTAAGATGTACTAACATTTGAAATACCGTTAAAATGTGCTTTCAAATGATCGGTATTCCTCAATCATTTTGAATACGCATGACTGAATATGCAATTAGGACACCATTTATGTCGCGAGGCAGTTGGGTTCTTTCAATGTCGCGAGGTCACATGACATACCACCTTTGTTTGGCAGGCCGGAGCACGGCTGTTCTGTAAAAAACAACAATGGCGGCTCCCAAAGAGCTTAGCGTAGCATCCGTTACATCACACCTGGAAAAGTGTGTCTTTGTGAAAAGAAGAGCAAAGGCACTTACAAAATATCTGCTGTGGTCAAATTTAACAGATTGCTCATCCAATAACCTGCATGTTTTTTTATTTTTATGTATATGGACAGGAAGGGAGGGAGAGACAAATGCTAATAACTCACGGTTTGACAGGAATATGTGTGTTAAATGTATGCAAGTTCCAATGGACTTTCTCCTCCATCAGGGCCCCTGCTACATCAACTTTGATCGTTTCCCTCTTGATCAGACGAAGGCGGAGGAGGAGTTCTCCGGCTGGGACCGCGACTTCTGATGTTAAAAGGATCAAAGGCCTCGAGAGTTTCACCTAAATATGGAACCAAATAAAAAAAAAAACTCAGTTCAAGCCAAAAACAGGATGACAGAAAGCTTCTTATTGAATAAAAAAACCCCATCTAACTTCATACTGATTTGATTATAAAATCTGAAGTGGAACTGGAGAGTATTTTCCAAAATGTGGAGCTTTTCTGTTGTCATAGAGACACATGAGAGACACATCAACTGGGTGGAAAAGGGCCAAAAAATATGTAGAAGTGTCAAGCCGCGTTGTTTGGACGTTCCGTTTCAATGAAGAAGTGTTATTAACGTCATCCATACAACACTCCTCACTGATTAGAATAAAACACCCGTCCATGTGCTTGCAAGCTGAGAAAAAAAAGGGCTGAGTCATTTTGTGCAATCAGTAAAGTCGAGCTCTTACTGAGACGGGAAGACGCACACTGATTTCTTATCTCCATTGTATTCAAATGTGTGTTGTTCTTCTGGATCTATGTTGATTTTAGTGATGAAATGTGCTTATCTGCTATTTGCCAAGTTGGTAAATGTTTGAATATTGTTAAAGATTTTTTTTATTGTAAACCATCACTTGAAATTCTTTGTTTTCGGGTAATCTGTCCCCTTTATGCATGCGAGTATATTCACGCAACATGATGATATAAGAGAATTTCTACTCAACTTTTAAATAAAAGTACTCTTTTCTGCATGAGTTAGTTGTGTTTATTTCACACTTCTCCACCATCGCATTCCCATCCAATCCCTAATGTGTGAAAAGCTGCTCTTTTTAGTTTTTTCTTGCGGTTTTTCCCACCAAAAACGACCAAAGTAAACAATGAAGCAGCGGGGACAATTATCTGGAATGGGGCGCAAAGTTTCCAGGTTTATTCTCATTGATTGCAGCTGATTGTTTTGCTCTGTCTCGTCAGCAGGTTTAGAGCAGGAGGTTATTTTTCCTTCCAATCAATGCCTGTGAATTTCCAACTGAGACTGTGGTTTTCCACAACAGAAAGAAACGACCCTCATCAAGGCAAATCTTATCTTTCAAGGGGAAAAGACAACCGGTGGTTAAAACGCCTTGAAGCCATTAAAGTACGTTCATTTTGAAGTATCACATTCAAGAAGCTGTATGGAAATGGAATAAATATGATAGAACTTCCTGAATTCCTGTCTCCCGCTTGAGGTGGTTCCTGCATTTGCTGCACTTAATGGGATGTGGAAACGCCTTTGAGGGGTAAATTCTGATGCTGTGGACACTTCGCTCACGTCATAAAACACGACGGATACCAGCTGAGATGGAAGAACAAATTGGCACAATCTGAAAATCTGAAAATTGGCTCAAGATCCCTCTTCATTTCCCTCTGGTAATTGGGTCGGATAACTGGCTCACGACTTCTGCTTCTTCTGCTACTTTGTTTTCTGGCAGATTTGGGACACGGCGCCCTCAAGGGCCAACTTCTGAAAGATGGAGTTTGCTGAAGTTCAAGCCGAGCATCAGAATGGATTTTCCCATGCGGACCACCTCTGGGGTTTAAACAGGATGGTCCGAAAAAGAGAAAATGCCCAGTGAGCGGCAGATGTGTGTGTGTTTTTTTTCTCTGCAGGTGCGAGTGCATTCAGGTGGCAGTTTGTCCCGCCAGAGGAAGCAGATCACTCCTGTCACAATGGGCCGGTTCCTTTGCCTATTTGTTTCCTCACTCGACATAGTTTATGGCTTTCCTTTCCTTCTCTGGCCGGCAGTCTGGAGTCAATCAGCCTCCGTGTTCGCACCTGTGCTGATTAATTATTGGAGGCACCTGTGTTCAGTCGCTCGGCTCTGTAATGTAATGTGTTTCCGTGTGATGTAGTCCTTATAAATGATTAGCTAGCCGGCTTTGCTACAGTGATTTTGTTCCCCGCAGTTTCTGTTATTTGCCTCATTTTTGTAGGAACGACTACAATTTGATTCATTTTTTGTTTCTGTCCTCACAACGCGTCTCCATTTGATGTCTTTTTTTTTTCTTTTTTTCTGTGGTGCAAAAAAGTCATCCTTTCCTTTCCTCTTTCCACCCAGCTGTCCGTCGCATGTTTGTTGAATAAGCTTATGTGGCGTGCAAGTTAATGCATCAGCACATTGCTTGTGATGTGAACGTTATGTAACCTCTTCAATCAATAATCCGGGCCTGCGAGCAGTGAGGAGAGACAGCGATTCAGATAAACTGGAGAGGTGGTCTGCAAACTTCACCATCGCTCTGCTCGTGCTTCTGAGACCCGATGGATTCGCCCCGCTTCCCCGACACGGTCCGATTTTAATATGAAAGTAATCGATATTAAAATGCAGTATTTAATGTTACTTATATTTCTGGCCACTATGAAATAAATGATTTGAACTTGAAGGGGAAATGTTGAAGTGCCTTCCTGCCCGTAATCACGGTGTTGTGATGTTGTTCAAGAGTATTGAATTAATTGCAGTCGTGAATGAATCCATCGTTTTGTCAAGGATTCAGCTTGTGCATCTATTGAATCAATGGCTCATAAAAGCTCTTCAGACACTTGTCAATAGCTGTCTGGCTCCTCACTGTGATCGATCTCCTTCTCTATTACTTGTTCACTGATTAAAAGCTTAAAGCCGTATGATGTTGGTTACGTTGAACTGCAAAGTTTCTGAATGTAAAACTTCATTGTGCCGAATCCAATTACACTTAAAACGTTGGGTTTGTGGTGCTGTTGTAATAACGTTGGCCTTCTGCATCTGTTGCTCTCGAGAGGCCCACAGCCATGTCAAATTTCCCAGCGGGCCGAACCTTTCTGCAAACCAATCAGAGTTACAGGAATTTAGTCGTGCTTGAATTTTCCGCGTGGGAAGATGGATCTAAAGCCGCTTCCTCATTTGGCCTCAATGATTGGTTTCTCCTGTGCATGAATGCTCTCGAAGCCCCCTGGAACAGCTGCACTTACAGGATCACACTGTTCTTATTTCCAATCCTCAGCACAAACACAGGGGCTAAGGAGGTGAACGTCCTGCGACAGCGTGTGCAAGGTACTTGTGACTATTGTGATGGAAGAAAGTGGAAAGAACACGATGCAAACGTTGCTTCAATCAACCTTAGCTGCCCGTCGTCATAGCTGTGGCGTTATTATTAAAATAATTAAAAGGCCGCTTCAAGGGCACAAGTATTGGGGCCTGCAGCTGTTGGGCTCTTAAATGTAATGGAGCAGAAGTTTATATTCAATATTCTCAGTCAGCGCTTTGCTTTTAAGCCTTTGCATCACATGTAAACATCTTGGATGTTACGTGCGTATGGAATCTTTATTTTTTTGTATTTCACTTTGCAGCTGCTTAGAATATAAAAAAATTACGGACAGAATCTTTTTATTAATAATGTTCAAGGTTGTACCAAATGCTTCAAAAACCCAATCTGCAGGTGCACTACATTATTAATTCACTCTCCACACAAAGAAAGTCTGCTCACCTTCTAGAGGTTGGCTGACTTGGAAGAGGACAACCCAAAAAACCTATCAATAATAACAAAGGGAATAATTCAAGGTTGGTAGTGGAAGCGTGAGGCTCATCTCCATGGAAACCCCTTCTATCTTACTCGTACTAATTTGAAATTCAGGCAATCCTCTCGTAAAAGCACTTATGAGTATGCAAACAAACTGTCTTAAGATAATTGTTTATAGAAGGAAAAGGATCTTTTCAATTAATTTAAAAATAAATGTCTCAATGCATGTCAACGGCACTGAAGAGCCTGTCATCCACGCCGCGCTGTCAAAGCTGAAATGTGTCTAATGGAGTAAAAATCTGTCCACAGCTGATCGTGGGAGGGTAAATATAATGCTTTGGGAAAAGTCCCCGTCTGCACAGCCTCTCACTTAGTATCTGCAAGGTTTTGAAAGGAAATCAATCATATTACTTCATATGTTATAAGCTCTGAATAGAGTGTATAATAATGGCAATAATTAGACATGAATTTGGAGCCATATTAAAAGTGTTGGGTTGCTCTCATTACAATATATCTATCTATCTATCTATATATATATATATATATATATAGAGAGAGAGAGAGATGCGTGTGGCACATTGATGCAGTGAAGGTCAGGATGTCATTCATCCTCTCTGCACGAGAGGACATCCTATCTGCAGCACTCTGGACCCGACAGGAAAATGCTTTTATCCTCAGGGAAAGGTTCTGACTAAAATCCTTCCTCTTTTTGCTGGTAGAGTTTGTATTTTGGTAGACTTGCTTCTGTCATTGTTGAATGCATGTTCATATTGTTTAAGAAGAATCCGAGCTAAATATCCAACATGCAAAATCATTTGATCGGGATAAAAGCTTTTTCTTTTTAAAAGGATGAGTTCAACATGTTGCTGGTTGGGTGGAAACCCAAAAGTAATGACATGAGGAAGTCACTGCGCCTTCCTGTTTCTACAGTGAGAGCTGAGGTCATTGATACAGACACTGACCAACATGGCAGTCAGGAGATGGAAAACTGAAGAACTAAACCACTAACCAAAACCAATACTCTCTAACTCATGCAATAGTGAGTTCTGTTCTCCCAGGTGCCACCACACACACACACACACACACACGCACCACCTACCCACACCGTGTGTTAATGTGGGCACGGGTGATGCCCCAGACGGTGGAGGTTGGGCGCTGAGTCACCGTTTGCCTCTGATGTCACTGCAGACAGAATGGCTAATGCACCGACCCGGTTGGGAGGATATTCCCTCTCTGCATTCAAGCTCTGCTTTGAGCGCTTTGATGACACTTAATAGACCACGTTGTGGATAATAGTCGCCGCCGCCCTCTTCACGCATGCATACCAACCCACTGCTGTGCCTGTTTTGTTTTTTGTGTGTCTATATAAAGCCCGTCTACAATCAACTCATTGGTGAATCATGCTGGCTCCCATTTGGAGGGCACAGAGTTGAGGGGGGGGGGGATACCCTCTCAGTGTAATGCAGCATCTGAGGGATGTGCTCATGGTCCCGCCTGTCTCTCCTGGCAGGGATGAGGCCGAGAAGGGACGCGCAGTGTCACTCTATTTTTAGAGTCAATAACTAACCGGCCGCAACGCCGTGAGGGAAAAACCGCCACAGAACTTAATCAGAGAGAGGCCACGTCGGGCTCCTTAACCGTGAAGAACGTCTGGTAACTCTCGGCTGACTGTCAGTCCGTCCGGATCCATTATTAAGCAGTGACTGTCATTCTGTTCATCTTTAAAACACTGTTGTCTCGTTTAGCGTGGAGCCAAACACAACTGGCAGCTTCACCTTATTTATCCGTGGCGATTGCTGTAAAATTAAAAATAAAAAGGTGTGTCGGGACTAATCATGATGAAAACAAGCAGCAAGCTAGCGCACCACGAGATGGCAATAATATTGTCCAGACGAGATGTTCAGATAGGTGTAATAACAAATAAATGTTGTTGCCCTTAGTTAAATGTTCTATTACTCTGACCAAAGAGATTAAGGTTTTTCGGTCATACCTTGATATTCACTTTCCAAATATTGAAAAGCACCAAATGTGTATTTATCTACGGCTAAAATGAGTCCCCAACAGCTGGAGATGGAGAAATAAGAAATGTGAAACATTTGGTGTAATAATAAAGTAAATAACAGTAAAATATCAATTTACCGCATTTGTTTTCAAGCCCTAAAAGAAAACAGTAACCGTGGGTGTTTTTTGTATATAAAATATTTTATTCTAAAATATGGGACAGATACCCACATTCACATATTAACATACTGGAAACAAATAGTTGCCATACTGCTATCAAAAGCAAAGTCTACAGTTATAGAGACATCTGATCTAATTACAATAGAAGTAGCATTTAAAGTGGCATGCAGCGCTTGTTGAAATCATGTAGATTTCAATAAAACATGCGTGTACATAAACCCTTTGTTAGCGTATTTTTACAGATGGGTTTATTGGGAATTTAAACGTTTTCTAACAAGTGTCATTTCAAAATATATGTTTTCAGAAAAATGGATCTTGATAAGCATCTTTGTTCATAATTGTACTTTTCTGCCATTGTGTTTTGTTTTTAAACGTAAATGAGCGGCAGCAGCTTTAAAAAAAAGCCTTTAGTTGTTTTCACAGTAACAGATCTAATTGAACTCCTTTGCATCCATAAATCAAAATGTTCCTCAATGTTTTTACATTCAAAACGAGGCTCATGAATGAATAGATACATTCAGCATGCTTGAACGCAGACTTAATTAAAAACCAGCTCTCTGGGAATAGAAGAGGATGCCCCGTTAAAATGCTGCGGGTGGAAATTAAATTAGTTTTTATCGAACCCCGTCTGCACACACACACACACACACACACACACACACACACACACACACACACACACACGCACTTACTGTAACCTCAACCATGCACGGGTATTCCTCACACGATCTTACATAACTCTCCATCGGCAAACACTCCTTGACTTCCTCAGCACTGACATCTCGCCTCTCAGCCGCTGTCAATCACATCGTCCGCCTGGTGAAAAGCAATAGGACGACTTCTGGGGGCTTCGCTTCCAACAGCTGCATCAAGGTTGGCACCGCTTTCCCCCGGGCGACTCAGCATCACTTAAGTCTTTCTCTCAGTGGATTGCACGTTGACATACCATTTGTAAAAAAACAGGTGTACATGACGGTTCATATTACGATTTCTATGAATCCCACCATGTCGTATTTCCTTGGTTATACATGTCAGTTTGCATTGCAGTGAAAAGGAACAGAACCAAACTAGGAAACAGCTGAAGCCTTTTATTAAACGTTACCAATCTCTTTTGCAAATGTACCTTTATGTATACATGCATTTGAGGGTTAATGTGTTTGAGGGTAAATAGCCTCAGATGAGGCTAATTGAGCCGGTATTATTTGGTTATTTAGTCTAACTGTATTGGCATTAAGTTGCTTTTAACCGGCGCTCCAGATGGTTTGTTACACACAAACGACGAGAAGCCGTGAATGTTGAATGAACCATCGGCCAATAAAATCCGCCAGCTGGGAGGAAAGCAATAAAACACAACTTTTATATCAAGAAAAGCACTCATTACCTGTGTGGCTTTTCTATTATTAAGAAACGATTTAGCTGATGCTACTTTAGCAGTTATAGTAGTTATAGTAATGTCTTACATTATGATTCTCGCATAAACTCATAACATCGTGAGATGTATTATTTATTTTATATTATATATCTATTTTCCTATTTATTTGTTTGCCAGCCGTGTCGGTTAAAGTTTAAATATTTAGTCAAGATCTTGTCTGTTTTGTGTTGCCTGTTTTAATCTAGTGACGTATGAATCTCCAACTAATCATTTGAGTAACAAATAAGATTTTGAACTTTGAAAGATTTGGTGCAACTGGTTCCTTTAGCAAAAAGCATTTCCACGCGATATTCCATATGTCATACAGTTGGTATTCACACTGACATATTTATAGCAAATGTTAATGCTACAAACTGAATGGCACTAACAAACGTGTTGAGAATATAATGTATAATACACTTGATCCAAAACTATTCAACCTGGAAGGTTTCAAACGTGAACAAAAATGTATAGTCAGCCAAGAGAGGCGTTTACTTGAATCAATGCAACTGACAATTTAGAGTCATAAAGGATAATAAATCTCCTGAAAATAGAGAGACATCCCTGAACTTTGTAGGTAGTGCGACCTAAAGGCGGTGAGCTGAGGATGCGCCTCACGCCCGCAGCTTTCAGTGCCTCACCTGCCGGGATTTACTTCCACTTGGAAAAGATTACAGTGCCGACGCATTACGGGGCATTTTTCAATTTCATGAGCAAAAAAAAAAATACAGGGAGTCCAATTTCCCCCCCCAAAAAACTGAAAGCACTTCTGATACTGTAAGAAAAAAACAGATGTTACTTTGGTACGAGGGAGAAGGAGGTCTGACCAGCGAGTCTGGCACTGTGTGGTTAATGTAACTCTCTGCACGTTAAGACTGGTAGGAAATGGACAAATCACAATGACAGACCAACGTGGCCTCGTCCAAGTTATTAAGAAACAGATCCATGCAAACTGCGGCTTCCTCTTAAAAGAGATGAATAAAAACTGTGCTCATATTTAACTAGCATGAGTGGACAGACGGTGTGTAGCTCCATTCGTCATGCATCATCATCCTCGCATGTTCGGTGGTTGTTTCCAGAAAGGCACAAGTGGGTTTTTCCTCAGGGCGAAGCGTTGAATGTCAGTCGTGGAGGAGCAAAAAAAAAAACAGTCAACATTCGTCTCTTTAGCGAGAGCAGTGTGACAAACAGGCAAATGCAAGGCGTATAAATTCATACTGGAAGAAGAAAAAAAAGCCACATTCATTGATGTTAGCACAGGACTGCTGCCCCCCCCCCCCAGAAGAAGAAGAAGAAGCTATGGATCCTCTTTATCTGATGCAGATACTAAGGTAATTCGATCTATGACTTACTAAGTTTGAGGAACGCGTTTATTCATGATACGCTCACAAGAAGACGTCCGGTCCGTGGCGACCTCATTATGGCCTTTCATGTCCTTCCCGCCGGCGAGGAGCGTTTCTTTTGAATTCACGCCTCTTGATACAATCGTTTGTTTCCCGTTTGGAGGAGCGCGCCTCCGACTCGGCCCATTCGCCTTCACGGCTGTCCGTCAGGCCGAAAAGAAGTCGTCCCTCCCCCCGGAGGGGATGAACGGAACCCAGCGAACGAGCACATCCTTTCCCAGTTTGGTAAGCACAAAAGTGTGTCTTGCGTTTTAAAGCTCTGTTCGGCCGCCAGGTGCATTTCACTCACCCCCCCCGCCCCCCCTGAAAATCTCCTTCCTGTAGTGCCGCTTCCTCACTTCAGGTGCTCGATGATGGCGATCTCCCGCCGGTCGGCGCAGTCCGGGCTGAGGCCGTTCAGGTAGAGGCTGCCGCTCCTGGCCAGGCGCCCCGAGGCGGGACTGAGGGACAGAGTCAAGTTGGGGTAGGCCTCTCTGTCCTCGCACAGGCTGGTGGACATCGCTCTCTTGCCCGGCGTCATCTCCTGGTTGAGGGCCCGGGTTCATTCCCAGCTCGGACGACCGCTCGCGCCTCAAGGACGCGGCGCGTTGGAACTTGTCATAGATGTCGACGCTGAGCCGACGCCGGGTCTCTTTGAACTCTGGCGACACGTTGGCCGTCCATTCGGCCGCGTGGGCCCGGAACTCGCCGACCTGTAGGGGGGAGAGACCGGAGATGAACGTCTGCAGGCGAACGAGCACAACAGCGCGCTCCCTGTTCTGTAGCATGTGCTTTAATACCCGTAGGAGGCGTGCAGGGCCTTTAGCATGCACGCTATAGAGACACGCCGGTGACAGGTGGTGCAAGAAATGATTGTGAGGGATTATTAGAGAAAAAGTAGAGAAGGCAAAATGTAGCTCTGTCCTTGAGGGTCGTGACACAGAAAGAGGGAAAAGGGAGTTTGCAGGTTTTTCTGGCCGTAACAATTTGATGAAACAGGGAAATGACAGGCTGGTAAGAGGTAATAGAATCTGAAAGGAAAGGTGGTGCGGATGAATACAACGTGTTTGTAAAGGCAGATGTCTCTATTGAGGGGTTAAATGGGTAACACATGAATGCAAACTGAACAGAGCTCCTGTAATGGACGTGTGAGTGTGAGCGTCGCCGAGGCTGTTAAACCGCATGAATTGTTGTAGGGGCAAAAGTATTATTAGATAAGTATAAATAAATACATTCTTTGCTTTCACATGGCAGACTGGATGAAATGAATGAAATCGAGGAGCTTGAGGAAAGGAACCTTTTGAGGGACATTTAATTTGACATCTCTGGGTTAGAAGTCGAAAGAACGTTTTGTTCTTTAAACGGTGTAACAGTTAATAGGTGTTTTCACCACATCACATTGTAAATGTCTAAATAGAAGAAATTAATACAACACTTGATAGCAATGTAATGTTCTCTGTGCCTTTTAAATGCTTAATTAATTAACTAATGACACATTATGCAAAAAAGCCAAACGTTTATTTGTGACTATCTATGACACACAGCTCACAAATAATTAAAGGCAAAAGTAAAGACGTGTTCTAAAGTTTGTCACGCGATCTAAAAGTATATAAAGCAGATCAAACCCGGTTTTGATGTTGTGGGGAAAAATAAGCAGCATTTTCTGATCTGAAACCAAAGGCGCAAAAAACCCGTTTAAACGGTCTAACTGCACCGCTGGGCGAGATCTAGTTCAGCCGCTTTCTGCTCTACTTTCCAACAGGTCCATTGTGTTCAGACGGAACATAACACAACATGTAATGAAATATCGCACTGCTGTGAACACGCCACGACAAACTGCTTTTTAACAGCTCCTGCCTCCACATCTCTCGGCTGTGTTCCAGCCTTCGAAGCCATTATGAGACGTTTTGGGGGGGGGGAATGCTTATTCACTGTCTTGCTGAGATCGGGATGAAAGGATTGATCCCACCCGATAACGTGTGTGCGAGTCGCGTGTCTCCGCTTTGTCGTGCCGATGTGATGAGGTCGTGCGCTCCAAAATTGACTGCAGGAGATTCGAGCAATAAAAAAAGAAAACGTCCATTCTGTGTTGTCTCAATGTCCCGGCCTTCTGGATGAATACACGTTCTGTTTGTTTGTGGTCCTTCGGAGGGGAAAGAGGCGAGCGTGTTGTTGGTCTTGTTTTCATAATGCATGAGGCTTTCTTTGCGGGGCGCTTTAATTACCCACGAGGCTCCGAGGTGTTCGTGCTTAGGGAGACTTATGAGTACTTTAGTGAAAACTCACGGGACGTAAACGGGCTTTCTCCTCCTTTCCGACTTTCTCTGCTCTACGTCGCTCTCAGCAAAAAGTTCTCCACCTGCGCATCGCCACAATTTCTTATGCTGACTAGAACAAAGAACGACGACGTGCTCGTCTGGCTGCTTCATGCAGGAGGTGGCTTTTGTTGTTGTTTGTGTGTTTTTTTACATGTAATTAATGAACCTGCCAGTTCAGGTTTTTTATTTTTTATTACTCAGCAGCAGCCAATGGAAACACACCAAATATTCAATCCAACTAGATGGCATTTTCTCCTCCGGATAGCAATTCACCACCTCAGACCGAAGGAGGAACTGTGAGGGATTAGGCGATATGAAAAATGGAGTCCTCACCGTAATCATTAGAATACGGTTAGTAGGTCTGAGCTGTGGCGGCGGGGACACCGGGGCACGCCGAGTGAGGCGTGAGTCCTCCTGCTTAAACCCATTATCAATGCAGCTAGAAGCAGATTTGTCACGCTTTGGGAAAGTTATTTGTCCAGCGGCATAGTTTTGTGCCTCCAGGCTTGTCAAGTTTAAGCAGAAAGTCTTTATTGATTTTATACTCTCACATTTCATTCTGATTACAAAACGATTTCAGACCTCGAAAAAAAAAAAAACCTTTCTCCTGCTTCATAAGTCACTTTATTTCCGTTCTTTACTCAGTAAATTTCACACATTTTGTGCCTCACGGGAGCAAACGAGGGCTCTTTCTTGAGAGGTAGGTCCATAAATTAACAATCAAACGTTCCCTTCTTTGGGCCTCTTTGAGAAAAGGCGTCTTTATTAACAGGCAACCCTTGTCTCCAAACATCGTCTCTCATCCTCTCTGTGAAAAGCCTCTGGGGTGGAGCTCAAAGCTTCTTCCTCCAAAGGAGAGACGCTTTCTCATCTCATTGTGGCGCTCTGGAGTTTGCAGCACATCGGCACGTACCTCTTCTTTAGTTTTCTTGGAGATGACCCGGAACCAGTCTCCAATCATACTGAGCACAGCGGCAAAGTACGCCAGGCCCACCAGGATCCAGAACAGCACCACGGGCTTGTAGTAGTTCAGGAACTCCGGATTCTCAGCCCCGCCTGCAGAACCGGACATGCAACGTGTGGGTTACACAATCTGTTATACAACCCTCGGCCACAAGTGTTACTTAGCTGAAGAATTCTAAAATAAGAAACAAAAACAAGCAGGATTGGCTGTTGTGGAGATATTTTATATCTCCTGTACACGCGCGTTGGGATTGAAAACATTTGTGTGTAATATTACAAGCTTGTGAGCTGTCTCAACACAAATAGTAAGTATATATATATATGTATACTTGTGTGGACTCCCCTTCCCTGCTGACCTTTGACTCCTACCTTATAACGTAACATAACGCTGAATGGATATTGTTCGTGGAGCAACATTATAAAATATTGAGATGGTTGTAAGAATATAAACTTATGTAAATACAGTGGATGCTTAAATACAGTCTAACCCTTAAACAGGAGGCGGGTTTCTTCACGTGCCACATAAATTACACACAATATGTGTTTTCTCTTCTTTTATATTACTTCAGATATTTTGTCCAGTCAGAAAACAAGAATGACTGAAAATATGGCTGAATGGCTTTTCAGATACAAAACATAATGAATAGTCACATGGGAATGAGGAATAAATAAGTATTAACATGACTGGTAATAAACATATATGTGTAACATCTCTAATACGGCACTTAACTTTGGTAGTAGTGAGTATTTTTGGTCCACAGATTTTAAGACTTGAAAGAAATGAAAGAAGGCCTGTGAATCCAAAATATAATCAACCTTTTTCACCGGCGACAAAGTCTCCAAAGCCGATGGTGGTGAGGGTGATGACCACGAAGTAGATGGACTCCAGCGTGCTCCAGCCCTCTATGTGCTTGAAGATGACGACTGGCAGGGCCACGAAGATGAGGCACCCGAACAGGATGAAGATCAGCGTGGATATGACGCGGATCTTCGTCTGGCTGACTTTCCACTTCTGACGGGAGACAAGAGAATCGCTGATACGGAGAATTAGTAATTTCTACAGGAAGTACTCAGCAGGAGGCCTGGAGAGTGCAGGGTGACGGTCTCGTGTGAAGTAAGTGGACGTGCGGCCCATTTCCCACCGCCCAGCATCCCACAGGCTTTTTATTTTTTTTCACATTGGGATGAGTCACTTCCTTCGACCTCCTTCCAGGAATACAATCGCTGTTTTCTAACATCTCAAATGTCAGTCTGCCAAGCTCATGTGGCACAGCGTTTGCCGTCAGATGGCACGCCCACCCGAGCCGCGGTCGAGGTGGCAAGTGACGCGACTCATATCGCATGTGCTGCAAAACTTAACAACTTATCCAACGTTTCACTCGCCGTCATAGTAGCAGCTACTGTGATGGATTCATTGCAGTTACGGCCTGTGCTCCCACTACTAGAATTTAAATCCCACAGCTCCTCTTTTGCATCACGATATTAGGTCGCATCCAACATGCTGCTGCTGCCTCTTCCTCCTTTTCACTTGACTGCGGCTGGTTCGCGGTGCAACGGGCCCTTTTCCCTTCCAGTTATGTGAGCCGGCAGCGTATAGTGCCTCAGAGGGGAAGCATTAATGAGAGCAGGCAGACCTCAGATCAGTGAGTCCGTGACTTCTAATGTCCTCGCAGCTCAGAGCGACGCCCAGTAGGCTACAGTGGTATACGGATGGACGGGACCTTCAGTGAGCAGAAGACGGTGATCCAAATCACCTTCAGCGGTCGAGTACAAACCGGGAACTTCACTCCATTTGTTTTTTAAATCTCTGTTATTGTGCTGAACAGAAATAGAAATAACAGCGAAGGACAAAAACAATGGAAAAATCAATGGGAAAAAGAGTAAGCCGCCGTGTAGCAGATGATACAAGGGATTTGTGAAGCAGAGGTAATTTCTCACTCAGCATCTTTATTTGGCCACTCTACTAGCATTGTTTTCATCAAGCTGACAACCTCTTTCCTTTTCCCCAAGGAGAGAAGACACAGAGCTACGCTAGCAATCCGTTCATACCAATATGTGTTGAAAAAAGACTGCTTTAGTGAACGTTCATTTGTGTTTGATCTAACTTTCCTTGCAGTAGTACTGGTGTGCTGGATATATATATATATATATATATATATATATATATATATATATATATATATATATATATATATATATATATATATATATCCTCCTGCCCGGTTCTGCTGAAACACTGTTTCCAAGAAATAACACTTGGCTACCGGTTACTCAATTATGATTTTATCCCAAACCCCCATGAATTATCGAGTATAACTAAAGTTACTTCACACACTTTGGTGGACTTTGTCATCAGGGACTTAAAGACATCTTATTGCGATAACAACAACACCTCGCTCTGAACAGTTTTAAATCACAGAGGGTCCACTGCGGAAAAATCATTTTACCCTGCAGGTGCCCCGGCCCATTAGGTAATGCTATTAGCTGGTTGCTATGACTCCCAACATACTGCATATTGGTGACACCTAATTAACTCTCTACACCCTTTTAAAGACAATTATCTGTAACTTCAAGCATCTGTGCGGTTTTTCTTCATCAAACAGCACATCAAGGGATTTTATCTTTTGCTAAATTCCAAATAAAACCCAATAACTTTATGATACAATTATATAATAATGTCCCACAAACTGTCTTTCCAAGCGTTTTAACAACATCCATCGATATACCTTTCAATGAAAAGACTTCCTTCATTGAATTTGTAATCATATTTTTCATGTGTTTACACCTGCAACTGGTTCAAGAATGCAATTAAATTAAACTTTTTTCCTCATAAAATAATGGACGTACTTGTATGTACAATTTTACATTGAACAGATCAAATAAACTGCTCAAGCCCTTAAGTTTCACTAAATGATCCATTTCTTGAAATGACCAACCTTGGCTTGGCAGAAGTGCTTTTGCCAGCATGCTTACACTGTGCGCTTCTACATGGACGGAATCAATAGTCAATGTGTGACTTACATCATCGGGATTGATTTGTTTGCAGCTATGTAGTTTATTCTGCCAGGAGCAAGAAATAAGATCTCTACAAAAACAGCTATTTACTCTTCTGGGTTTTGAGCACTAAAACAAACTGCATGCATTTTAAGTTGGATTAAAAAAAGAGGCTTCTTCAGGTGGTGCCCGAGAAAAGAAAATCTAATTCATTGCTGTCAGCTAGATTGTTTAGGGGTAATTATGTTGCACCTCTTTATATAAAGTACGAGGTTGATATGGCTCACTGCACACGTGTGAAAATACAGTGCAAATGACTCAAAGACGAGCTCACACTGATGCAGGAGCTCACCACAATCATCTTCTCTACTTTGGCGATGCCCTTTCCAAAAATGGTCCCCAACTGGTCCCCGACGCCGGCCAATAAGAACCCAAACAGGGGAATGCCGAGCACAGCGTAGATTATACAGAAGATCCGCCCGCCTTCCGTGTGAGGAGAGATGTTCCCGAATCCTGACGGAGAGGAGACAAGGATCGTTCGTTAGCTCACTCGAAAGCATTTCATGCAAAATATCAGTTCAAATTAGCTCCAACATAGCCTTGTAGAGTGCCATGTTGCCCTTTGAACAGGACAGGACTCTTGTTGTGGGAAAACTTTGCATGACGGAGCTGCAACGTCGCTGCGGACCGATGCAGCAGAAGGTGCAGCAGGAGATGCAGCAGGAGATGCAGCAGGAGATGCAGTAGTGACGGATAGAAGTTGTGCTGAAGCACTGAGTTCATAATTCACAACCTCAGTCCTCGAGCGGGTCTGACAGAAATGAAGTGAACAGCAAAAAATAAAGAGACACTAGTACGCTTCTCCCAGGCTGTCGTATGTACACACACACACACACACACACACACACACACACACACACACACACACACACACACACACACACATACACACCCTAATCTAAATCCATCACTGGTTCACTGCCTTTCATCTTCTCTCCAAACCCATCATCAAGTGCAGCTAGAAAAGCAGATGGGGCTTTGAGACCTGTGCTTTATTTAAAGCTGACCTCACACATTCAACACTGTGACTGTCCAGAGTTAAACTTTCATAATGGGTGTGCATAATGAACTAGATCCACGTCTCCTTTGTTAACACACTCATCTCAGGATGTGAGCTGCAGGGGGCCCTTTTAATGACTCTGATGATACAAAAAATGTCAATCTAGTCTCCCCATTTTAATGATTAGTTCAGAGGTTCGTTTTTAACACCTCCATCACAAATGAGACACAACGGCTCCTTAATGTGTGAATGAAGTTCTTTTATATCCTGAAATAACAGAATTATTGTTGTTCTATATCAATTCTATATCTACATATATTCCCGGTCTATATTCCAATCCTATCACAATAGCAGGTGTGAGGTGCTTTTATTCAACTAGGATAAAATAAAAACAACAATACCAGAAGTATCTCAGCTGTAAAAACAGCATTACACAATTTGGATGATATTTGTATAAATCATATGTTAAAACTAACACATTTCAAATAGAAGACTTAAATCACAGGTTACACACAAATTCAGTTAAATACCAATAAGTCGTTCAATGAGTTTCACACTTGACTTCAACATTGCCTGCATGAAAATTACATCAGACTTAAGATTTTTGCTTTGTTTTGAGCTAAAGCCATTTCTCACTAGGGGCCCCAAATCACTGCATTCGTGACGCCACTGACTCGGTTACGTAACGATCACCTGCGATTCGCCGTCACGCTCGCTCTCCTGCGGGAACGAATGCCATTGCAACCACAGCTTCATGACTTCCTTCTAAATAAATTAAGTGATGCCGAAAGAGGAAACGGCAGTAAAGCATTTTACTGATTGACTTCATTAATTTCCGACAAGGACACACGGTGCTGCTTTCATTTCCCATTTTCCTTTAAGAAGCAAAGCGAACGGGTAAACAATAGATTTAAGATTAATCACACTTACGCCGGTATAATTGGTGTCCTTTTTGTATCCTCAATAATGCATTTCTAAAAAGCTCTTGACTCGGTTGAACAATTTTTATTATATTTTCAGGGAATATTATCAAAGTTGCTGCGCCAAATGCAACAGCTCTATTAAAGTAAACTCCATGATCTGATATTAGACTCAAAGGGATCAAACCAGAAAGCCCGAATTCAACCTCTTTCGCCTCATCCCTGCAGCTTTAAACCAATCATATTAAAACAAGCTCTTTGAAAGGCATTACAATATCAAAACAAAAAAATTGTCATTAGGCAGCTATGAGACAACAACCTTCTCTCTTTTTAAAAGATTCTGCTGTGATAACTCGAGCTCTAGATATAATACACGTGTTCCGTGGACGTATCACGGCTTGTTGGCGATGTACGAATGTGAATTATTGGCAGTGAAAGACTGACAGTTGCTCAATTGCAAACATTCTTGTTAAAGATGCAGCGACACGTAGTTTAAATTCAATAGAAAAAGCACAGAGGAAATGTAATCAGTGGCTTCTAAGGGATCTGTATTTAAAAGGTAAAACTGTAATAATAAAAGCAGAGGGCTTATCCAGGCTCACCTAAACTGCTTTACAATTTGAGAACTAAACAATTAAAGGCATAAAACACGTTGCATAACAAAAATCTTCATGAATACGTAGAACGGAGGCTTCAATCTTTACCATCATCATTATGTATTTGTTTTTCAAATCATATTCTATGCAATTTTCTAAATTTCACAAAAAACACAAAACAATTGTTTTGTAAAGTCAAACCTAATATCAATGGATTTGAAGAAGAAACAGAGCCAAATATTACAATAACTAATGCATAAAAATTGCTCCCATTGTAATGTTATTAATATTTCTATTCATTTTTCGACCCTGGAATGTTTTGTGTTTCATTCTATTTTTGTTGGTTCTGTGGTTTTGTCAGGAGTTACACCTGCAATGCACCACTCAGTACACCTGCTCCACTCCCACCCTGAACCCATGACAATAAGTGTGTGTGCGTGTGTGTGTGTGGAGAGGTCCTTTACCTCACTACTACCAATCAATTACAGAGCCCCGTGTAAACAGATCCATGCGTGGATATGGATTCCTGCTCATCCATCTCCAGCTGAGACAAAGCCTGAACAATGGAAGGAACAACAACGTCCCTTTTTCCTTTCAACACATCAAAGGCTGATCTCTGACAAAGAAACGAGGCGGCGGCTTTATGAGCAGCTTCTCCGTGCAGCCACAGCGGCGTTTTCCACCAGTCAGGCAGAATTATGGTGATTGCAGCAATTATGTGCTTTCGCACCGACACGGTTCAAAGGTGACACGTGTAGAACACGGCCGGCCGAAGGAGCTTTCGCTGGGAAAATCGGATCAGTGGAAACTAAGCTTTGACTCTTCACGCTGTTACCTTGAATGCGATGCAACAGAACACCTGTTTTCCAACGGGGGGGGCAGAAAGTTGTTGAAACGAATGAAGCTCAACAGCTGGCCGTACGGATGCGGTTGTATGAGGTCTGCTTGAACCTGCTCAATGCGATTAGTGAGTGTGTGAGTGTGTGTGTGTGTGTGTGTGTGTGTGTGTGTGTGTGTGTGCTGTGGCTTTGGCCAATGCAATTTGACAAATTTGGATCGCAAAGCAACAAGCACACGCCGGTGGAGCCGAATGTGGAGAAGGAGCCAGATCTGTGTTTGGGTTTCGTGCCAAAATATGGGGGGGGGGGGGAGGACTTAATGTGTGACAGGCTGCATCTCTTACAACACATAGCAAGCAGGTCAGTACCGTTTAAAAAGGAACATCACTCAACCGCACTTACAGAGACACTGGTCTCAATTCCATGAGCTGTAATTCGTGCTCATGGAAAATTGGACAAACTGCGAACACCAAATATGTGCTTGTTTTGCAGGTATAAACATTGTTTTTCTTTGTTGCTCATGTATAAAGGTTTGTTTTTTGACACTGTAAACTCGGGAGTGCAAAGTGTGGTTACATTTTTGCAATTTCGGTGACTAGTAGAGTAAAAGCAACGGTCCAATAAAGTGAAATCTGAAAAAAAAAAAAGCTGAAAAAGATTTAGTGCGAGAAAGAGTCATTTTCCTGTCCAATTTCATGCTAAAACGGACATCTAAATTACACGGGTTCCTCTGACAGCTTTGTGATTAATTGACTTTGCTTATGAAGACAAAATTGTTTTGACGTCTAAAAAGTAAATTACTTAAAACCTTTTGTGCAGTTGTGCGGGAGTGAGAAACGGCCTCTTACCGATGGTGGTGATAACAGTCCCGGCAAAGAAAAAGGAGGAACTGATGTCCCAGAGGCTCGTCTGATTGGAAGCGTTTTCCGAAGGGTTCACGCCTGCTCGCACTGCAGAAAACACTTGCTGCAGCAGAAAGTGACAGAAATAGGAAAAAGGTCAGCACATAGCAGCGTCTCCTGCAGCTGCAGGAAATTAGCGGTGTGCATCAATTTTCTTGGGAGCGATGACAGACGGATAAACACTAAACCAAAACCTGATCAGCGGTTATGACCAACAAAAATAAGCTGAATCGGTTGCCTGTAGCAAATAAATGCAGGTTTTACCTGCTTTCTATACAAAAGTGCAGTGTGCCATAGTCACAGAACATCCATACACACATCACAGAATGTCTGCGTATACATTTTTCATCCTCTAAAATCCATTATTCATGCCGAACACGCTCAACATCCACACCCCTCATTTTAGTCAGCAGACACTCATGTATCACACTTGTTTGATTTTGTTTGCCCTGTGACCGCGGCCCTGATGCCGTACCAGAGGGGGAAGCACCGGTGTGACACGGATCACAGCGGAGCGTGGCGACCTTTTAGACGGCAGCTGGCTTACAGGAAGCGAAAAAAACAACAAAAAAAAACTGTTTCCTTCTCACTGCCGTGCTTGACGGGAGTCAAGAGGGGAGCAGCAACCAGCTGGAGGGAAAAGCTGGTCATCTGCTCCTCTGCTCACGTGCACGCTCGCAAACGTGGAGGCGCGTGAGGAGCAGCGAGCTGCAGGAGCCGCGTTGGTCTGCATGCAGCCGGCAGGTACAGGTGGTTCCTATGTGTTGATGTGAGCTGGCTAGCTTACTGCTTACAGTCAGACGGTGAGCCAAGAGTAAATCATGAAGTGAAGGACTATTATTTGTCTGGTCACATGTCAAACCAAGAATAACAACAACAACAACAGCCCTTCATCCAACCAGCACATCCCCTGTGTGAGAGTAGTATGAGGCTAAATTTAGCAGCTCTGACCTGCAAATTCTTTTTATAATAAGCTTAAAAGTGAAAAATGGCTTTTGTCCGTGACATTCGGCTTTATCCTCAGACGCTTTTTAAAAATGATTTATATTGTTTCCAGAACTTCATACCTATCAACAATACCTCAGCGATATTACTGACAAGAGGACAGCCCAAAGGATATTAACAGATAACACCTGAGATACAGATGCATCCGGTCCGGTTACGCCACACTTAAGAGCAGCTCTTCCCTCCCCGACACTCCAAAATATATCGTTTGAACTGTGTCGTCTTCTGTGCAAAATGGAACTACAAACGGCATTTTACTGTCAATGACAGTAAAATAACATTTGGGTAGCCATCAAATGTCAGAGCTGTCTAGGTGCAGCTGATTAAATACACCGGTAACTGCAATATCATAATTTTGTGGAACAGAGGCACCTTTAATAAATGTCAGACCTGTAGGGGGGAATTAGCACGTTTTGATAACCTCCATTATTTGTCCATAACATCAATAAACCCCCACAAACAAGGCAGTGATCGCGTGCAGCACATAACGCTGCCCACACTCATGTCGAATGAGCGCAGTCAGCTCTTTCTGCACAGACATTTTAGGGTCACCGCGTGTCAGGGTGTTTCACCTTCCTTAGGGACACTGAGAGGGCTTTTATTAACCCGTTACTGTGCGATGAGGCGGTGGAGAGAAAGCTGAACTGAATGATTGATGGGCGGGAAAGTGGGGGAACAACAGGCACGAACCGCACGAAGAGTTAACGGTGTGTTCGAGGGCGCAGGAACGTCGGATGAAGTCGACGGACGCGGAGGCACAACGGCTTAAAGGGGTCGGTTCAGTCAAATTATAGAAGAGCCGATTTTACACCTGGAAGTATCGTTCCTGATCAATTACCAGGTGGAGCAGACCTGGAACCATCCTTCATTTACAATATTTCTCTAACCTTGACATAACACGCACACATTTTATTCATTGTCAGAGGTTTTGCAGGTTCAAGTCACGTTTTTAGGTTAAACAGATTTAAAAATACATAGGTATTGTTAGGGATTTAAGCCAGAAGTGCACCCCTAGTCATGGAATTATAATACGTGTAATAATGTTTAGTGCTAGAATTGTAGTTTGTGATGTTAGATATTAGTTATTACATTAACATGTTAGATGAAGTGAATGCAATTTGAATCAAACACAATGTAGAGTCATTTAAAACATATAAACACTGTACTCATTAACATTCTGTCACAATGTGATGTTAAAACCTGGGGACGGATGCTAATTGCCGTCCTTTATGGATTTCTCCCAATTTTATCCCCAAAGAGGGTTTTATGGGAGTTTTTTCTCCCGTCAGGTAGTAAATGAACAACTTAATGTAAGGCAGCCAACTGAGGCAAATGTCTTGAGATTTGGACCACATGAACTGTCTTAGATCTTATGATGAAGTGTGATGAACGGGGATCATTAATGATGTGTTGTAATTAAGGTGTACTAGTTAAAAGATGAAGACAAACTATGCATGCTTTGTTATATTCACTCATTGAGGCATAAAGCCAAATGTATCTACATTGAATGCATTGGAATGTGAGGGACAGATGGACAGTGAGGTTTCAGGTTACAGCAGCAGCTTCACACCTCGATGTGAAGGGGACAGTCCAGGAGGGGACACTTTGAAGAGGAAGCCAATGACATTCAAATGAAGACACACCTCAAGAATTTTCAAAGCACCAAAGCGGGGAAAGGACTGTTAGAATTTTCCTGCAGCCGCTTTGATAAGTCGCTTTAGACTTGCTCAGAGAATTCTCTATTTCGCGAAATATTTTTCTGTTCGCTTTGGTATAGAGGAATACCAATGAGGGGAAAGTGAAATCTTAAAAATGAAAGGATGTGAAGCCTGAAACCTGAGTCATGCTTGTGTGTTGATACAAAGTATTTCCGTATCTGTAGGTTGAAACAGCACTTAGATGGACAGCAGCGCTTTGTCACTGCAGTGAAGGCGATTTCCATGTCTGGATTATGTTTAGTTTTCTTCTTCAAAACGAGTGCGTAGCTAGTGAACATGGACATAGGAGAGCGTTCATCTGCTGAAGGGACTGACATTTCCCTCGGGAGTTAGTTAAAGGGCATCAAGTAATTTGCTGCTGTAATATGTTAAAATTGTGTTGGCAGTCTGTCTCTGTGCTCTTCAGTGGGAACGAAAACCCAAACAAACGAAAAACTACTGAAAACAATGGGGGCTTTTTGGAGTTGCACATGCGGGGCAAACGTTTGTCAGAATTGAAAACTTCTATGACGAATGACAACATCTCTTGTATTCACAGACAAAATAAACAAAAATCCCGTTGAAAGGTTTTGATCTCGTTCATCTCCGTATCATCTCTAAATTTCAACACAACGGGCCCTTGAACGATACGTCCAGTGTGCCTCGAAAAACACAATTTAACAAACCAAACAATCAGCTTGGCTCCCCTCGGCCGGCCTCTTTGTTTCCCAGCCAAAGCGCCCACAATTAATTCACCGTGTTGGCAGACCAACAATGACTATGGGAGACGATAAGGCGGATAATGTGAGGACCACAGCGGCTGTTTCCCAGCTGAGCCAAACAGCCGCAGGAGAGATTGAATTGTCAGAGGCTTTTTGACATCACTCACTTTTTTAATTACTTCCCCTGGGAGCACAGCGCTCCTACAATTTCTCTTCTAACTGGCTTTTGATCAGTTGGAGCCTATAAAGGTGTGTGTGTGTGTGTGTGTGAATTCAGGTGGGCACCTGCTTCTATCAATGAATAATCAGAAGTCAATTAATCAGTTTCGTCTATTAAAGGTGCAAAGAGTAAGACTGGTGTAATTAACCTTATAGGAAAATAATAAAGTGATCTTAAATGCGTCCTATGGGCAAATTACACAGCTAGTAGCTGACCGATTCAGTTTTTTTCTGAGGTTGTTTTTTTTACCTTGCAATGAGCACAGATCGTTTCAGTGGAAAGGTCGGGGACAGAAAGAGTCATGCTTTGCCTACAAAAAAAACTTGACAATTTACCCTCAATTGACTTCAAACTGTTCTGAAACAGTTGCTCAGGAGATTTTGAATGTTAGAAAGGGGTCACGTGGTTGTTGGCTCAAGTAAGTCACAACCTTATGGGCTGATACTGAAGGGCAACCTCACCAAAAGATGACACCTGTTCCCACACACACGACCGTGCTTTGAGATAAATGCTTGCGTGGCACCATTCAGGCTGAACATGCGAGTTATTGAATTACATGTTATTGCTTTGGTCTGGATTGTTGGTCATTTGTGTTTGTCATCGTGACTCGTTCTGTCTTATCTTGACTTCGTGTTCATTAATTCTTCGGCCTCCAAACCCAAACCGTCTCAGCCAAATGTTTTCAGCACTAGCCGAAAGCAACAGCAACAATATGGTGTCTGTGTGATGCCAGCGAAAGGGCTGCCAAGCAGAAGGAAAAATAACAAGGAGGAGAATGGTACGCAGCAGTCAGAGCGACACATTATGTTTTAAGTTCTTTGCTTTTAGGTATTGATTTCTCCTCTTTTGAATCACTGTACAAGTTTGTTTTGAGGTAAACATGAAAATAAAAGATCACCATCACAAACAGAACGATGATGTGGAGACCGAAAAGAAGACGCAAAGCATCATCGTCATCTTTAAATATTAAATCAGCATCTTAAAGTTAAATAAACACCATGTGTCCTTTAAATACAAGTAGAGGTATTATCCAAAATTCAATCCTGTCAGCTCGGTTTTAAATATGTAAGAAAATACACTTGTAATGTGACTGAAGCCAACACATCGCCAACAACTGCAGGAACCGTTTAAAGCAAACCAAGAAATGGAAATATTGATAAATCGTTTGAAAATAACGCATTCTTCTTTGGAAAACGGTGAATATTAGTCCTGCTCTCTAGTATTTCGTTGTACTGGAGCCCAGAAATGCAACAGAGTGGAAAAAATATTCATAGTATCTCGTTATTCCAGTAAAGGTTTCTCACAATTCCCAGAAGGCACTTGTCATTAAAACAAGAACCCTTCAGTAATTACGAATATTTGTGGAGGGAAATAAAAGTGTAGATCTTCTGTGCAATTAAATCTTAGGGATAAACATTATGTAAACATTAAAAAAGGTTATCTGTAACAGACCTTTAGAACAACAGCTGATTTACCTTCAACAGCAACAAAATATCTTTGTTATAAAATAAATGATATTTTATGATAACGCTGTGGTTGCGGTTTGGTTGGTTTGGGGCAAAATACAGGTTGGCTTTAAATTGTTGCTGAAGGTCAGCACCACAGTCCATTTTCACCCGAAACATTGATCATTGACTGATTGATCACGTAGGTTTATTTCTTAACCTGAGCCAATTTCCGGCAGAAAGAAAAAAGAAATCTCTAAGGTGACCTTCATCGAGTGATAAAAATCTAAACACATGCGACCACGATCTTCCTTAACATTTAAATCAACAGGGATTTCTTGTATTCAAAGAGTTCATTAAATATCCTCAGCTGAAAGCAACGCCGCAGTTTACTTCTTAATCCTCAAACAAACAACTTAAAGCTGCCAAATACTCGTAATAACCTCTGTAGGTAAAAAGAAAGAAACGTTCTAATAATGACTACTACCTAATACGTTTAATAGATTTTGTGGAGGTCCTGCAGAAGAGAAAATAGTTTAGACATCAATAGATGCTTCCACCTACCTTCACCAAATCCTCCAGCTCAGAGGAGTTCACACAGGCGTGCCTGGCCAAAAATTCCAGTTTTTGCGCCAGAATCGCCAGTTTCTGGGAGCTCTCGTGAGGCTGCTCCAGCGCTCTGAACACCGTCGCCCCGATGATGAGGTAAACCACCACCAAGAAGAAGATGGCCGACACGGTTTTCCACCTCATGACAATAGTCCGGGTGTCGCACTCGTCCTCTGGAGTGGTCAGGACCACCGGGTTGACGGAGAATGACAGGCGGGGTTTGGAGTTGTGGGCGGCAGACTTCGGGTCAAGGAGGTCAGGTGCCGCCACTGTGAGGACGGAAGTGATGAATGTGGATCAATTTGTTTCCATTAGAAGAGACTCCCCTCGAGACATACTCGTCTTTGTCCAATTTGTCACTTCATATCCATCACGCTATCCAGCTACCGCACAATGTGCCTCTCCGTTAGACAAATAGGCCACAATATTTCCCCTTCTGGTGCAAACAACAACAAGTGTAAGCGCCTGAATGAAACTACTTTCTTGTCGATTATTTTGGGGGTGGTTTTCTGCGAAAAATAAACAGAGAAATTTCCAGAACACAAGGTGAAGTGTTTAAATTGCTCCTTTTGTTTCCAATCAACTGGAAAAAACGTGTTTGCAATAAAAAGCGAATCTGAGATGCTAGAACCAGATACATTATGACATGTCTGATGGCAAAGGTCTTAAAACCACTGCATTAGTAATCATAATTGTTGTTACTAAAACTGTCATCTACCTCAGCTCTTAAATCATGAGGCAAAAACCATCTGGGGGAAATTGATTGTTGTATTTACTTTAAACTCCACCATTGACGGTTATTGCAATATATTCCCTACTGTCAATAAGTCATGAATATTAAACTAAACTGTATAATGGTTCAGGAAGAAGCTTCTGCAGGCGAAGCACGTTTCATTCAATGCGCGTCCTACAAACCAACCGTATCCTGCAGCAGCATTTACAATAATATCTCCACTTAAATATCACATATCTTTCTCCTCTGAGACCAACTCAGAGATGGGAAATCCTGGATTTAACCCCTTAAGGCTTCTTAAAAATAATATCCATGTTGTGTGAACATTCAGTGTGTTCGAATAAATACATGTGATGGAAAACCACAACTTGTAATAGTATTTACAGTCTTGTGACGGTGGAATAACCGATATGTCTCCCCACAGGAAACAAAACGATGGCGTTCTTGCTTTTTGGGACCCACAGTACAAATGATTCATCGACTGAATGGAAGCTCATTAAAAATTAAATACTCTTTGTCACAATTCTGTTTCCCCCCCTCCAATAGCTTGCTGAGGTATGTTGTTACATAACCACCCCATGAGGTTTTAGTAAACCACTTATGAAGAGCATCATTGTCTAAACTCAGCTGACCCCATGTAAAATAAACCCACAGTGATTTGTATTTCTTTTACTATGTTTGCTTTTATATGACTGTGCATGACGATTTCGTTCCTCGGTAGGTTTGTGCACGCAGAAATATTGTAGATCTATAGTCAAAGCCACGGCTGAAGTAAAAGTAGTACACATAGCAAACACATATGTGTTATGATTTGATCTTTTATCATCATTCATACAAATGACTTGTAATCTCTTCACCTACTTCTCTACCATCTCGTCCCTCTTTGTTTCCTCATCCACGGATCGTTTTCTTCTCCACGAAAAGACGCAAAAAACGAGCTCCGGTTATTGTCGCGTTCTACCACCGGAGATCCGTCCAAGGGGCGCGGGCGCTCTCCTCATGGCTTCCTCGGCGCGCTGCTCTTCCATCCACCTCACAACATCCGAAGAAAATGCCCGAGGGGGCGGGGGGAGGGGGGGCATCGAGTTCCGACGCGGAAGAAGCGCACAGGACGCAGCGTAACACGGACCAGCGGAACAAGTCGCGTCCATGAACGTTTGGAGACGTCGTGGTCGGCGGACGCACGCAGGGCTCGTGGGTCGCACCGGTTATTATGGAGGAGGCGTGCGCTCCCCGGCGTGACCCGCCGCACGAGCTGCACTGCTGTGGATAGTGTGGAGGCGCAGTGAGGAGATCTTCAGAGGCTTCCCGTCCTGCACAATGTCACACAACAAGGGATGGACAAAAAGACAACAAAAAAAACAAAGAAGAGGAACAAACAGCTGCCACATTCCTTGCGGTTTGAGTTCGAGCACCGTGTCTCACATCTGTATCTGCAGTATGGTGGTGCATTTGGAAAGGCATCTCCTTTCTAGCTGCCTCCAAGTAGCTGCTGCCCACAGACCCTCTGAGCAGCCATTAAGGCTCACTGGTTGGATCGGTTTTTGAAAGGCTTAACAGTCTCTACGCTGTAAAAGGAAATAGTCACATCTGTTGCACAGAACACTGCCGCATGTTTGCAATCCATAACTCACCCAAGACATTTCATTCATATTCAAAAGCCTATAAACCCAATGCCTGGCTCAAGGGCACGCTGGAGGACGCTGTTCAGAAGAGAGAGGGTTCCCTTGGACGCTTTTCGTTTGAGCGCATTTGAGTTCATAAAACGATTGACTTAAGGCCTTCCTGGTGGAGCTATGTTAAATAAAAGATGCACAAATGCAAAGAAATATTTCTTCCACTACTTTTCGTGTGAGTGAGTTAAAGGCCTCCCCCCGGGTTTAAGGGAGAGAAAAGAGAGCTTTTTCTTGTTCTGCTCAGTTGTCTTTAACTGTCCACATCTCACACACAGAAGGGTTAACCCTCCTGTCAGCAAGACGAAGCAAACTTTGTCAGTGACAGTAATTAAATTCATCTGAATTAGTGAGTGAGTCTTCGGGGTGGGTGCCCCTCATGTAAGTTATTATTCATCACGGCATGCAGTTGTTAAACTGAATTTAGAAAACCAATACTGACGGGCGTTTTCAGTAATTTGATTATCAGATGGGTAGCAGCCCTTTTCTGCCCCTGTGAGGGTGTGTGTATTTAAAATAAAGGGAGTGTGCAGATGAGTCCACGCTTTTCATTTGCATGAGCTCCATACTGCTAATTGAATTGTGCGACTTGGACAGCTGCGCTGTTTTGTGCTCTGATACAAACCCGCAAACACACATACACACACACACGCACAGAAAGATTTTTCAATTAAGCAATAAAAACATTGCTGAAAAGAGAGCTATGAACAACCCATCATTTTTGCTGACATTTCAAGTCTTCCGGTAGCTGAATTTGAGGAGGAAAGAATGGCTCTTCTGCAAAAGGAAGACGTGACACGTTGTAGTGCGCAGCATGACAGTAATAAATCCATAAAACCATTTCACACATGCTTCTTCTCTAAAAGGGTTTCAATGGATTGTGTCCAGATTTGAAGACGCCGCTCGGCACCAGAACATTCAGTGTTCTACTTTGTCCTTCCCACTCTTTGTCTCCTCCTCCTCTCTGCTTCCTCTTCTTCAAGTGACTTTGATTCAGACAAGAATCCAATCTGCACTGACGTGCTCGACGAGTGACACATTCATTTTGATGGCGGGCCGTAACCGGCTTCCTCCGATGCCTCCATCACTCCGGAGGGCGACGACCTGCTCCTCCGTCAAATATGATAACGGTGGATGCTGTTTTTCATGCAATAGTTATAAGGCTAAATTATTTCTGTGATCAACTGAAAACTCTCCTGGTTCTCTCTCTGTCTCTCCTTTTTGTAGACACACGTTATTAATACAAAGGGCTCTGATGGGCTACAAAGCTTTGTTGAATCTCCCGTTCCAGCCTCTGTCACATCCAGTCAAATCATGTGCGTTCGAGAAGTCAAGTAGATACTTTTTGCTTATGTTGCGATGGTTACTGTCCTGCTATAATTGCAGCAATGGAGGCTTTAGTTACGTAATCGTAGCAGCAATTATTTTTAAACCAAATCCAAAGCAAAGCAAACTTCCCGTACAGAGGTTTTTATTAACATACAACTCTATAAACTTTCTACGGAAATTGTCCGTCTGAGTACACATGAGATGAGCCTTAAAAAATGATTAACCGTCGTTGCTTTTTACCAGCAGAGCTACAGGACGTCTGCAGTGACCCCGTTGTGGGAATATCTCAGTCAGTGTTTTGCTCCTGGCCTGTTTTCTAATTTTTTTCGCACATTCATCTGTTTGTGTCACTCCTTTCATTCAGTGTTTTCAAACCATTTTGACGTGTACAGATGCTGGAAACTGGTACATATGTGATATTCTCTTCATGATCTTTTCCTGTAACTTCACTGCCTGTCATTTACTGAACATTCTGTTTCTTCAATTTATTAGTCCTTCCAAATGTTGATCTAATTTGGAGCCAGTACCACACAAATGGATTTTTCATTAAGTTCAAAGTAGGAAAAAGTCAATTGAACTGCCTCTACTTCCATTAAAGAAGCTATTACGGCCCGTGTCGTGGACGTAATGAAAGTAGTGAAGGAGTGAAGGATTTTGCCCGAGTGAGACTAAACTTTTTTAACCATTTAGATTATGACGTTATATTGATGCGTGAGGTTTAAATGATGTATTTCTGAGTTCCCGGTTTCTCTCAAACGGGGCTTCACCTGCAGCAGTAACATGTGGCTTTTGTTGCATGACAGTAATCTTATTATCGGTGACATTGTTTGGCTAATGGATTCTATTAGCATAGTAATGTACCTTAATGTCATAACAAAATGCCAGACACAGAAGCCATTCTACAGCTTCCCTGTGACCTGTTTGACGTAAGGTGCCTACCAAGTGGTGCCGTACTGAAGTCTGGCGTTAATTTGAATTTTAGTTCTAAGCTTTGTGGTTTCAACCCGATCCCTAATTAAAAACTGTGTTTCATGGTGAGATATTTGGAGAATGATTCCAAATGCTTTCGTTCTCAATCTAGAGCCTCAGTTCTTTATAAGTGCAAACTCACACGAACAGCGATATTCCTGGTTAAACTTTGCTCGACACAAAGCAAACCGGGATGCAGAAGGACGAATGCCATTAATGTGATTTAAATGTTCATACAGTTGTTTGCAAGCTTGCGTTGTTGAGACTCGAGACCTCGAAATATTTTCTCGAAAACAAATCCTGCTGAATCTACCTGAATCATTTCTACTGAGGAGGCAGTTTCCGCTTCCTGCAGGGAATCATCAGCAGTATTTTCAGCACGCTGTAGTGAATATAAGAGTTTTACTTTTAGATTGATCTATCATCTGTAGTGCTTTGATGTACCATCCCATAGAGATTTTCATTACCCGTCAATAAAGGTTTAGAGGTTTCTGTTTGCAAGATTTAAAGCAAGTTTATACCAACCCTCACGCTGTGACTTTGTAAAAGGGGAGTCAGTGTTTAAAATATGGCTTACGAAAACGACCTAACCTTTTACGTCATTCTAAAGAACATTTGTTTCATGCAGCGAAGCGTCCAGTCAACCTTTTTGTTTCTTTTTTTCACAGAGTGATTGTGGGTGAGAGGGGAGAGCAGATAAAACACACAGCGCTCATGTGGGAAACTGTTACTATAACTGATGCCGCTCTCAGGCTTCTCCCTCATTAAACTACACTCAACAAGGCGTCGCACGTTCACTGTCGGCTGAGGTTTTTCCACTGGCTGCTCCTCAATAGATGACACAGCTCAAGAAGAACACTTGTGGTTTCACAGTAGACTAATCTCCCTCCTCTCCTGCTCATTTCACTGAGCCCTGTGCACATCAATCATCATGAACAATTGAGCGAAATGAACTCGTGCAGTATGTTTGTGCACGAGCAGCAGCCGCAAACACACACGCCTGCATTATCATTAAAATATGAACCTGCTCGTGTTCCTGCGGTTATTCGAAGTACAAATGAAAAATCGGCACTTTGCAACAACAAGCACTCAACAGTCTCGAATAGGTGTCTATTATGCAGTCGAGGGCACCTATCAAAGAAAAGGCCAACGTTCTTTCACTGTTTCTGGTCATTGCTTGAAGAGAAAATGTTAAGGGTCACGTTGCTAATCAGCCTTTTGACTTCTGTGTCCAAACTGTAACACTGATTTTTTTCGTCCGGTCAATAGAAACTCTCTTTTATTCTCATCATGTGCCTCTTTGTCATATGTACTTTATAAAGTACTAGACATCGAAAGTATCTCAATAGAAAAAAGGAGATGTAGAGAAGCTGAAATGAGATATGAATACAACTGCATTTGGTCATTTCCTTCGATGATAGAAGGACGGCAGTGAAGAGGCCGAACTCAACTCCAGGCAGAGAATGTTCCAGTTCCTCTGACTCCCTCCATGGGTTTGGACATGCTGTGGGCCATGATGGAAATTGAAAGCATAGGAAAACAACTCAAGTTAAAAAGTCACTCAGAGACGATATTTTTGGCGTCAAATGTCATATTTACTCTCCCATCCTTTGATTACATCCCACTTTGACGTACCCCGGGATCTGCATCCACTGAGATGTCAGCGACGCGCACCCCACCGGTACACCTCGGTTACGGGGGGGAATTGAGATTAATGTGGGTGCTGACAAGGGTGTTGCTGACAAAGCTGGCACACTCACATACACACACACACACACACACACACACACACACACACACACACACACACACACACACACACACACACACACACACATCATACACACACTCAGCTAAGCTGTGAGCAAGCAATGCAGATTGTTTTTATTCATTGTGAACCACAAAAGAGCCATAAACTAGATTTGAAGTCAGTATTCTGTCCCTTCAAACGACTCGTTACTTTCCTAAGTGATGCGATGTGTTCCCGCTAATGTGCAGTAACTGCATCTAATAATGCCCGTGATGCACAGGTTGCCACGGATACGAGACGACAGACTTTCATAGAGTACATTTGTTCCTGGCTTGGGTCTCTTCAGGGGAATTAAGTATTATAAAAAAAATCAATGGGCTTGAATTAGGTTTAGGCGATATATACGGTACATTTAAGATTTAAGGTTACAGTAGCTTTAAGATTTAAGGTTACAGTGGGTTTAAGATTTAAGGTTACAGTGGGTTTAAGATTTAAGGTTACAGTGGGTTTAAGGTTGAATCAGCTGTTGAGGAAACAGCAACAGGTGGCTGAAGATATATGAATATGCATTTGTGACATTCATTCATTTTTTTCTCACAGAAAATGGCTTAAACTGCATATTAATAAGACTTACACTAAATATTTATAATTATTTATTTACTCATGTATTCATGTTGATAAGAGACAATTCAATGACTCGCCCTTTTCTTCCTTCCGCAAGATCATTCTTTTGTGCGGAAGAAAATATGACATTTTTTGGTGGGTTTTCTTGCTTGACATGTTTGCAGAGTGCGAGACGCACTCTGCAAACACACAAACAAACACAATACTGGCCGCAGCAGCCACAACTCAGGGGTTAGCTTTGAAAATAATTGCATTTTGTGTGGTGTAATTATGGGTATTATTCAACACAGACAGAATGGCATCTGTCTTTAATGATTCGCATTTCATTCCTCACAGAGAATTCCTTTTCCAGATTAAAAAAACGTGTTTTTAATCAAGAAAGGATTCTGGTGGCACTGGTGTCTGTCTGTTCTTCAGAGAGAGGCACACAATCACTCACACACACACACACCTTTACACAAGGGGATCTTCGCTTTACTTTCAGCTCATTCACCCGGGCTGTCATCTTTAACTCCCTACACGTCCTACGCTCCAGACGCAATCACCAGAAGCAAAGCACAGAAGTTTGATTTTGATCTTCAGCGAAAAAAAGTATGCCATTCGAGATGTACTCGTGTTTTTGGTGCGAGTGTGCTGCAGCGAAGAGGTTTCGCATCGTGCATAAGAAGCTCCCTCCTCTTATCTAGTGACTCCACGGTTACCCGTTTTCCTTTTGGAGCTTTA